ACGCGGGATTTTCTACAGAATGCAGCAGCTATCTTATAATTTGAAAATTGTATTATCTGTAATTTTTCAAGTGTTAACCAAGATTCTGTAATGCATATTACTTGAAACTGTGGAAACTCTATCAAAAATGCTTCTAGTATGTCTTGTTTATTGAAGATGCTCTGTATATTTTGAAATAATATTTTAAACCGTAATTTTTTTTCTGGTATGCTATGTTGTTTTATATCAGATCGTGATTTGCATATAGGTTTCTTTACAAAACTGTCTTTAATAGACGGACTTTGCATATTTTTGTTTATGGCAGTACTAGCGAAAAAAATGATCATCATTAACAATCTCATCTGTCGAATCACAATGAATATCCTCTTTAGGTAGCCTAATGCCTTTTAATAGCTTCTGTATTTCTTTACTTTGGTAATTTTTGATTTTATATTTATAGTCAAGTCGTAATATTTCTTGAAGTATATTTTGGCACAGATGTCTCAAGTTATTATGTGGCAGGCCCAAATATGAATAACGTAAATCTATATAGTTAACATTCGGCAACTTCGCGCTGTATGATTTAAATATTCTATTTATATCTTCAGTATTATTTTGCCTGCTTAACATATGTTAAGCTATTAAATGATATTAGATTACCTTACAATATTGAAAACGTACAATTAAATTTCTACAGGGTTGACTATGATACAAGGGTGCGTTTTTAAGTTGACGGAATGGGTAGGTAGGTAATAAGTGGGAACGTCGCTGAATTACGTGCTAATTGAGCAATTCATTATTACGAGTAGTATACGAGGGCGGCACTGAAAATTTCTGGAATCAAGGAAGTGACACAACATTACTGTTTAAAAATGTATTTATTGCTTTTCGAAGTATTCTCCGCGAAATTTGACACATTTTTCCATACGATGGAACCAATCATTGAAGCAACCATTCCATTTGGAAGTTGGGGTCTCCAAAATGGCCGTTTTGTAGGCGTCCACAGTTTTTTCATGTGATGAAAATCTCTGTCCACGCAATTTATTCTTTATTTTAGGGAAAGTATAGAAATCATTAGAGCTTAGGTCGGGGCTGTACGGCGGATGGTCTAATAATTCTATGTTTTCTTGCTCTAAAAACTCTTTTGTTCTGTGTGCGGTGTGAGAACTCGCATTGTCGTGATAGAGGATGATGCGGCGGTTGTAGTTCTCTTTAGGGACGGAGTTCGGAAACGACCTGTGGCAAACAAATGCTAGCATACCATTCTGCATTAATTTCTCACTAATGCCGTTCTTTATCTCTCAAGAGGAATTGTCGTAACAAGGCCGGTTTTGGAGACAAACGTGGTCACCATTTTTTTGCAACACACCGTGAACGAACAATTTTTGTTGGCTTTAACTCATTTTCGAACACCCAAACTCGTGACTGGTTTTTTGTTTCGGGTTCTTACGCGTATATCCAGGATTCGTCAACTGATACGATGTTGTATACAGCATTTGACGATCCTGCGTGGAATCTTTCGAGAGTTCTGAAGCACCAAGTAACGCAAGCCACTTTTTGCTCTTCACAGAGCGAATGCAGTATCCATCGGGAAAACAACTTTTTTACACCTAATTGTTCATGCAAGATTATTTGTATTTGACTCATGCCAATGTCTAAAGTTGCCTGAATTTCGCGGTAGGAATTTCCGGGCGTCCACTAGGCTATCAAAAAGTGCAACAAAGGTCAGCCAGTCGGAGAGGACCCCGGAGAACCTTGGCAGGTCCAGAGTTGGGAGTCGTCCCAACAGCTCCGGCTGAGTAGGCTGCTTCCGAGGGGACTCGGGCAGGCCACTCAGCCGAGCTTCACGCGCTTCATTAGCATACTTGGCCCCTGCCTCGATCAAGTTGTCCGTGAGCGAAAAAAATTGCTCGTAGTCCGCGAGGCAGGAGTCTAGGACTCCCTGTTCCGCATCCGAGGCCAGGAGCTCAGTGGTAGCCTCCTCCACTACGGCCCTTCGGGCCGCGACCTGCTCGAGCCGTTTCTCTAAACTATGGACCCGATCGGGTCGCCCTATCAAATTATGGGCGTTCGCGGCCCAGCGCAGCTCCACCTGCAGGCGAAGCACCGGTGGCTTGTGCGATGGCATCACTACTAAATACAATTACTATTAAATTAAATTAAATACAAATTACACTACACGGCACAAATGCAAATTAAATTAACAAATACAATTACTATTAAATTAAGTTAAATACAAATTACACTACACGGTAAGTACACACTACCGTCGGTCAGCAAAGATGCCTCGCTGAAGCGACCGACCCTTCGGCAATTTAATCTACCTGCCCGAAATACCTGACGCGTAGGTACCTAACCCTAATTAAACTCCTGCTTGCGCAGCCTAACGGCGTGGTTCTAACCACCTATCCGCTAACAAACAAAAGAAGCAAACAAAAGAAAAAAAAATTATTAAGTATTACGGCCGTGCGTGATTGTAGAAACAATCAACCACGCTCTGCTACCAGAAAATGTTACGGCTCTCAGTTGCCCACACAGAAGTCGACTGTATTAGGGCCCATCAGTATTACACTCCACGAGCAACCAGAGAGTTCGGGTCCAATGACCTATGGATACTTATTACATATAAGGGCCGGATAATCAAACACAAACTTACCGAGTTCCGGAGGTAGGGTCGAACACAAGGCGAAGTCAGGTGGTCAGTGAGGTGTATGTAAGTAGTGTGTGAAAATGTGTAGATGTAACCTGACGTCACCTACGTATTCTGAGAGCGGACCCACAAGCGCCGCTTTCTTCCAAAATGTGCGATCCCTCCAGTGGGCGTTCACCAATTGAAACCTTCTGCTTTTATTTCACTATATTCGTTTATCAACTTTATTGTACATTTAATTAACTTCAAGTTTAACCAAATCAACGTTAATCGAAATTAAAACAAGTGACACACTGCATAACTTAAGAACGGTCGGTCAAAGATCAATATCCCAGGTTCACTTAGCACAAAATTACAACCACGAGCACGAATGCGATCTCTTCTCGAGTCACAAAGTTCAGCGTTCCACACGACAAAGCAAAATTCCTTCGCACGATATTAAAATGCCACAAAGCAAATCGTCGACGCAAATTAATGGTAATCGAAGTTAAGTTAATCACTCAAAAAATATTACAACAAGAATTATAACAAGACTCGCCTCGTTGCAACATAAAACGTAGGAGATTAGACAACGCTATTAGAGGCTATTCCGAGCGCAAATTTCCAGGCCGTCTCATCGACACCGAGGTCGCTAGCAACTAACCACACCGGCCGCGCCCAAACAACTGACCTCGCCCACGCGTCAGGCTACCGAGCGCTCGGCCGAGAGACCCGCACGGGAGAGGGGGCCGACGGTGACCTTTAAATTCTATCGGAAGGACACGTGGTCCAATATAATTTTAAGTAAAACTTCTCCTCCAAAGGGTAGGAAAAGAAGGAATAATAGTTTTTAATGTAACTAATTACGCAACATTCTAGCTGGAGCTTGTAATATTCCTTATTCTACTTAAAAGGGTCAATAAATAATATATATATATATATATTATTTATTTTATTTGAGGTATACCTCAAAACTTGAAAACGAGACTGTACACCCAGTGCGTGTTGCCAGTGATGACATACGGAACTGAGACGTGGCCGGATGAGGAAGCTCAAGGTCGCTCAGCGAGCTATGGAGAGGGCTATGCTCGGAGTTTCTCTGCGTGATAAACTCAGAAATGAGGATATCCGCAGTAGAACTAGAGTGACCGACATAGCCCAACGGATTAGTAAGCTGAAGTGGCAATGGGCCGGCCATATAGCTCGAAGAACCGGCAACCGATGGGGAAGAAAGGTTCTCGAGTGGCAGCCTCGTACCGGCAGGCGAAGTGTAGGGCGTCCCCCCACTAGATGGAGTGACGACCTGGTAAGATATGCAGGAAGTCGATGGATGCAGGTGGCTCAGGACCGTGCTTTGTGGCATTCTTTGGGGGAGGCCTATGTTCAGCAGTGGACTTGTGAAGGGCTGTAATGATGATGATGATGATATATATATATATATATATATATATATATATATATATATATATATATATATATATATATGTATAAACACTTACGCCTGTCACCCAGAGGGGTAGGCAGAGACTATGGACTTCCATTTGGCACGATCCTGACACACCTCTCTCACTTCCTCCACATCCATATACATACGCATACACGCTCGTCGGTTAAAGGTACTCTTGATTTGGCCCATTTTCAATATATCGCCAATTTGGTCGATAAACTTTCGCCTAGGGCGTCCCTTCCCGACTCTGCCGTTCACTTCTGCAACATAAATTTGCATTGTCACTCTTTCCTCATTCATTCTTTCTACATGACCAAACCACCGAAGCATTCCTTTCTTAATCCTGGTCACAACATCATCTTGCAAACCACACTCTTCTCTTATCACACAATTTCTCACTCTGTCATTCAGATTCACCATTAACATACTCCTTAACGACCGCATTTCTACAGCATTTATTCTACTCTCGTGTTTCTTCTGCCACACCCAACTTTCACTACCATACATTAAAGTAGGGACTAACACATAATAATAAATAAAACTTTTAATAAAAAATATGTGATTACTAAACCGAACAAGATAATTTCCATACAATAGCTTCTGAAGTCGGGGATTTAATTTTTCAATATTCAACCACTTGCCAAGCGTGGCAAATATGGCAAAATCGCCCCACGAGGCAATCTGTGAGGGAGGCCTATGTTCAGTTGTGGACTTTTATAGATTGTAACGGAAGGATATATAGATACTTACACTATATCTTAAGCACCAACTTCATAAGCTATTATGTGAAAATTATTTCTTTGTTCTTTTATTTCTTTGAAGTTCTTTGAAGTCTGCTTTTACTTTTTATTTAAAGTTCGTTTCCAGGGGTTGTGATATACATTTTACATTTCTTATTTAATAAATAAAGAGTTAACAAAATTCAAAGTAAACCTAATTTCTCACCTTGATGAAGTTTAGTTTACAGCTGATATCCTTGCCGTGGCAGGTGATGTGCATGTCTCCGTATTGATCCACCCAACGTTGCCCGCCGAAGAGATTGTGCACGCACGTGGTAACCTGGAAGTAACTCACAGTTGTTAATACTTGAGAATAAATAAATAAAAAACATTCGAGCAGTATCTATGGTAGCTCAGAGGGCAAGGGAAAAACATTGTTTGGAGATCTGTATGTCTGAAAAATTTAATACACTTGGAAATGTGAAGTCTGCCAACAGGTTTTGGACATCGCGATGGACCGTTTTCTGCTCTAAAACGATCTCCAAAATAAGAAGACGTCTATGTCCAGCAGTAGGACGTATACAGGTTGTCCTAAAAGTCGACGTCAAGTCGGAATCGGGTGATAGGACAAATCATAATAGTTACCAGAAATATATAAAAAAAACCTTAGTCATGTATTTTTTTAATTACAGTAATTTCTTTTATTTTCTTTAAATGTACATTCTGTGATGGCTTTTTAGCTCCTTTAGCTACAAATCTTTACTTTTTTTTTCGTTTTTTTTTTTCAGTAATCTTAGGTAGTGCTTGCGTAACCTGTTGTTTTTAATTCTTAGCTAACTGCTCCAACTTGAATGAAAAATTTATACTCCGCCCAATTTTAACTGACTACTGAAAAAAATGTACTACGCCAGTTTAGCAAGTAACCTTAAAAGTTGACGCATTTAATAGGAATTCTAAAATGGTATAGCACTTGCTACATTATTTCTTAGATTACAGGAAAAAAAATTTATTCAAGAATCCTAGTTTTGATAATTTATAAATGAAAAATGTTGTACAGCCGACTTCAATATAAGTTATTAAACATTACTCAAAAACTATTGGTCTGACCTTGATCAAATTCATATGGGACCACACGAGAAGTACCAGCTTTCAAATAAAAAAAGAATCATCGAAATCGGTTCACCCAGTAAAAAGTTATGAGGTAACATACAAAAAATTTCTTATACGTGGTATAGCCTTGTTGCAGCTATATCAGTGGTATAGTTGTAGCACGAATGGGTTGGCTCGACCGGGGAAGGACCACGCTCTCACAGAATACCAGAGTAAAATAGCAGTTTAACACTGCTGTTTCGTATGGTGAGTGTATAGAACCGGAGACCCTTTTTACTGACTGGAAAAGAGGCATTCCACCTTATTCCTCACGGGTGACAACGCATCTGCATTTTGATTCGCAAACGAGGATAAATGTAGATATCTATGGGCCACAGCAACCACTTACCACCAGGTGGACTGGGTGCTCGTTTGTCACCCGATCCTATAAAAAAAAACATACGGTCGAATTGAGTATCGTCTCCTTTTTGGAAGTCGATAGATAAAATTCTTTTTAACTACTAAAAATGATTTTAGTGTGACCAAAGCTTGCCATGAGAGTAACTAAGATTCTAGTTTGAGTTAGAGGAAGAATCAATCCATGAAGTATGAGTGAGACAGATAGTGACGCATTCACTTTTTTTTTTATATATTTCTGGTAACTATTATGATTTGTCCTATCACCCGATTCATGCTTGACGTTGACTTTTGGGACAACCTGTATATTGGACTGTTACTTTTAAATAATAATGCACAAGTATTAATAATTTCATTGAGTAGTGATATAAGCGTGAAGTTAGTTGACGAAATGAGTGACAGTCCAACAAGGTTTTCAGGTTAGCTATTAGTTTTAACCAACTTCGAAAAAGGAGGAGGTACTCAACTCGACTGTTTTTTTTTGTATGTTACCTTAGAACTTTTCTGTAGGTGAATCGATTTTGATGATTTTTTATTTATTTAAAACCTGGCTTCTCGTGTGGTCCCATATAAATTAGATCAAGATCTGACCAGTAGTTTTTGAGTTATCCCTAATAATGAGTATTTAATTGACTTCGAGTACATTGATGATGTTTTTATTTTATTGAAGTGTGTTGTACACATTTTTTAATTTTGCCACATCTTCATATTTTATCTCTATCTATAAAATTAACTTGCATATTCTTACGATTTATTTTTCCTTATTAGTGTATAACTTATCAAGTTATGCTTCATTTAATGAGTTACCAGTGAATACTAAAATTTGTAACGAAATGATTAAATAAACATGCCTTTGTTTGATTTTTCAAAATGACAATTTTTTTAAACCTTTGTTGCTAACATTTCACTTGCAAACAATAAACATTTTACTTGCATAATAAAAGTAGAATAAGTAGTACGTAAAAAGTAAAAAAAGTGTTCTGCGAAAAGTTTTGTATACATCAAATGGGAAGCGAAGAGGTTTAACAGCTATGTAGATTTTAAATTTTGTAATAAGCGAAATGTATCAATGTTGTTGGTTTTCCAAAGAAGCTTGACTAATAGGTCGTGTGGTTGTGTAATGCAGGTGCAGACCTTGTTCCAGGTGTAGAGGTCGCCATGCGGCAGCAGGCGCAGGTGCACGTGTCCGGCGGGCTGGAACTCCATGGACTTGCCCCAGAACTTAGTGCGGATGCGCGCCTCCTGCCACAGCACCCAGCGCGCCGCCTGCGCGTGGCACGCCGACACCGGCGGGTGGTGCGACACCTGCCGCCGATACAAATCTTTATTTAATGTTTCCGGTCAGTCTCTCAGCTCATCTGAGCCGACAGCGCCTCCGTGACGGACCGCTCCAAGCTCAAATGCAGAAGGCGGTGAAGCTCCTCGAAACCGCCCACATCATCCCCCGGTTTCTTTCCCTTTCCTCCTAACCCTCAGCAATTTGGTCTCCCCTGCCGAAGGCTTCCATCTGCTCGGGTTTTTATTACTTTATGTATTATTTATTTATTTTACTATGTTTAATGTATACTGATCAATTTCTTTTATCAGGGTTATTTTTCAAAGAATATTCAATCAAGTTCAAATATATAAATAATAATATATCGTTATTGCAGTTTTTGTAAATACGAGTAAATAAGACTTATACTTTTATTTAAAATTATCACAAATTGAATGTGATTTATGTGTGATGGGCTCGGTAGGCGTGGCTTGATCACCCGCGGTGAACAAAGAGGAGTCGATGAGCTGCGACTCACATCCTCTCTCTCTACCGCTGTAACTCTCTCTTTTGATGCAGTGGTGGTGAGGCTGCGGGGTGAGAGGAGTGTCGGTATTACGAGGCGCCACTCTCCCTATCCCCCGCAGCTGAAGTTTGGTTGGCGACGGAACCATAGACCAGATCCGCCGCTGGAGTCAGGAAGGCTTGTTCTTGTTCTAAGTGCTCGTTTTTCCTGGCCCTCGCGTATCGGACATGTTGCGCAAGTTGCTTGAAATTGGAAGCCGTGGAGGAAGGCGCGAAATGTGTTCCGGTACACATCTAAGAAAATAGCACACTCGTACATAATGAGGTCACGGTCAACACTGTCAGCTGTCGGCCGGGTCAGTGGACGTAGGTATCAGCGGTTTAACGGAAGGGAAGGGCGCGGGATGACCCGCGACAAGGTACCAAAATTTGTAACCGAGCGATTTTTACAAATGCGTGCGTTTGTAGTAAAATAATAGGCGTTACATATTTATTATCAATTAAAATAATCATTTACCAGTTAAAATATTGCATTACTACGCATTTTGAATTTAAAAGATAAAAAGGACAGAGTTTTTGAGATATATTTTAAAAACCATTTGCCGCGATATCACTTATTCTGAAACTTTTTGCAAATTTGGGTACATATTGCAAAATAACCCAACCAGATGGAAAAACTACATTTATAATCCATATTATAATCTAGAGTGGGATTCGGTGTAGAGTACATTGTTGTATCGATCTGTTTGGTGTTAAAGCGGAACTGGGTGTTAGTTTGTAGCAATTGTACACTATAATAATGTCCTGTCTAGATAAGTAGTTATCGCTAAGACTAGAATTTGGTGTAGAGAACATAGTTGTACCGACAAAGTAGACTACGGTATGTCCGAAGCAATTGAACACTATAATCTTGTTCTGACTAGATGGGTAGTTTTTGTTGAGATTGTAATTTGGTGTAGAGTTTTGTATGTAGCTGTATCAACCTCCTCGGTAGAGAAGCGAAAGCGACGATCAGTCGTGTGCTACAATTGTGTTCCGTGTGGGCTAGCTACGTAGAGCAGCATGCGGTACGGAGTAGAGCGGCAGGGACCTGCTCGGCCACGAAGCGGAAGCCGCGGTCGTCGCGCACGCACTCGTAGGTCTCGGCCAGCAGCGGGTTGAAGGGCTTGGAGGCGGCGCGGTGCGCGGACGCCGCGTACGCGCTCACGGCGAACGCCGCCACCAGCGCCACGCGCTACGGTACAGTGTACAGTATACAGTACGGAGTAGAGCGGCAGGGACCTGCTCGGCCACGAAGCGGAAGCCGCGGTCGTCGCGCACGCACTCGTAGGTCTCGGCCAGCAGCGGGTTGAAGGGCTTGGAGGCGGCGCGGTGCGCGGACGCCGCGTACGCGCTCACGGCGAACGCCGCCACCAGCGCCACGCGCTACGGTACAGTGTACAGTATACAGTACGGAGTAGAGCGGCAGGGACCTGCTCGGCCACGAAGCGGAAGCCGCGGTCGTCGCGCACGCACTCGTAGGTCTCGGCCAGCAGCGGGTTGAAGGGCTTGGAGGCGGCGCGGTGCGCGGACGCCGCGTACGCGCTCACGGCGAACGCCGCCACCAGCGCCACGCGCTACGGTACAGTGTACAGTATACAGTACGGAGTAGAGCGGCAGGGACCTGCTCGGCCACGAAGCGGAAGCCGCGGTCGTCGCGCACGCACTCGTAGGTCTCGGCCAGCAGCGGGTTGAAGGGCTTGGAGGCGGCGCGGTGCGCGGACGCCGCGTACGCGCTCACGGCGAACGCCGCCACCAGCGCCACGCGCTACGGTACAGTGTACAGTATACAGTACGGAGTAGAGCGGCAGGGACCTGCTCGGCCACGAAGCGGAAGCCGCGGTCGTCGCGCACGCACTCGTAGGTCTCGGCCAGCAGCGGGTTGAAGGGCTTGGAGGCGGCGCGGTGCGCGGACGCCGCGTACGCGCTCACGGCGAACGCCGCCACCAGCGCCACGCGCTACGGTACAGTGTACAGTATACAGTACGGAGTAGAGCGGCAGGGACCTGCTCGGCCACGAAGCGGAAGCCGCGGTCGTCGCGCACGCACTCGTAGGTCTCGGCCAGCAGCGGGTTGAAGGGCTTGGAGGCGGCGCGGTGCGCGGACGCCGCGTACGCGCTCACGGCGAACGCCGCCACCAGCGCCACGCGCTACGGTACAGTGTACAGTATACAGTACGGAGTAGAGCGGCAGGGACCTGCTCGGCCACGAAGCGGAAGCCGCGGTCGTCGCGCACGCACTCGTAGGTCTCGGCCAGCAGCGGGTTGAAGGGCTTGGAGGCGGCGCGGTGCGCGGACGCCGCGTACGCGCTCACGGCGAACGCCGCCACCAGCGCCACGCGCTACGGTACAGTGTACAGTATACAGTACGGAGTAGAGCGGCAGGGACCTGCTCGGCCACGAAGCGGAAGCCGCGGTCGTCGCGCACGCACTCGTAGGTCTCGGCCAGCAGCGGGTTGAAGGGCTTGGAGGCGGCGCGGTGCGCGGACGCCGCGTACGCGCTCACGGCGAACGCCGCCACCAGCGCCATGCGCTCGGCCGCACCCCCACACGCCGCTGCAGCATCCAGCAGCTCGCAGTACTCCAGCTCCTCGCACAGCCGCTGCGAACCAACACCGCACCACCGCAACACCACCTCATTACTTGTACTTTTATTATGGAATAAGGATAAAGCAACACAATCTACCAGATGGTAAGTGGATGCTGTGACCTATACACTAGCAACTATTTTACGCTGGTATTCTGTGCAAATAAAGTCCTTCACCGATCGAGCCGACCCATCGTGCTACAACCACAATATAACCTAAAGATTTTTTATAGGACAGGGGTCAACGAGAACGGCTCACCTGATAGTAAATGACTACTGCCGCCGATGAAAAAAAACCGCAGGACCAGAGGAATCGCAGATGCGTTGTGTGAAGCCTTTTAATAAGGAGTAAGCTCTTTTCTTGAAAATCTCCAAACCGTATCGGTCCGAAAAAATCGCTGGTTGTAGTCAATTCCACAAGGAAATTGTGTGAGGAAGAAAACCTCTTCTAAATCGCACAGTGGTGGAACACCAATCATACAGTTGTATGTAAGTCTTAGGGTAGTATTTATACGTCTTAAAGTATAAACAAACTAGCGCGCAATGTATGGGATGCAATGCTCCTACGTTAGCATACACTCTTGAATAATAAATACATATGCAACGTACGTTTGACGTCAAACACTCCTTATCACTTCTTAACGGAGGCAAGTAAACAAATTTATACTATAATTAATAGAATCAGGCGTTACTTTGCGGAAATCCATTATATAAAATAGCTTTTACAAAAATTTACTTCGCAAATATCCGCGTTATAAAATAAAATGATGTGTCTTACCTAGTATGAAGAAGCACCTCCCGCCCTCCCTCAATTGCGTGCACTATCCCCGTCACCACTAATCACAGCACCGCTACTTCCAACACCACTACACTAGGCAAGACACACCACTGACGATAATACGACACGTGTTTCGCCTCTACACGAGGCATCCTCAGGTGATATAGACTCTACGGTGGCTAACCGCTAAGTGAGCGGCGAGCCAAAACAAGTGCCTTTTATACAAACCGATGATGCAACCGCTCTCTACCTAAGAAGCGAGCGATTGCGTCATGCGATAAAACATGCGACCAATCACCGCTGGACTTACGCAGCCGTTTGTAAAATTAAAAACAAACCGCCGCGCAACGCCCACATTATTAGAGAGCAGGCTTGAAGATATTTAAGAGAGGTGAGTTAGTAACATTTGTTTGTTCATTCAGCAATGCAACGGTATTATTATTACTTTTTAATATATCATCGGTTTGTATAAAAGGCACTTGTTTTGGCTCGCCGCTCACTTAGCGGTTAGCCACCGTAGAGTCTATATCACCTGAGGATGCCTCGTGTAGAGGCGAAACACGTGTCGTATTATCGTCAGTGGTGTGTCTTGCCTAGTGTAGTGGTGTTGGAAGTAGCGGTGCTGTGATTAGTGGTGACGGGGATAGTGCACGCAATTGAGGGAGGGCGGGAGGTGCTTCTTCATACTAGGTAAGACACATCATTTTATTTTATAACGCGGATATTTGCGAAGTAAATTTTTGTAAAAGCTTTTTTAAATTTATACTACCTCCCCTGATTCTAGGAATCACTTTGAGGATCATTTACTTAGTCTGATCATCACCGTTTGCGTAAATTAACGAAGACAACATGTACACTAAGAGTTGTCACTAAAATGGAAAATTAACATTATGTACATCATCACCATTACTACTGAACATAGATCTCCCCCAAGGAATGCCACAAAGCACGGTCCTGACCCACCTGCATCCATCGACGTCCTGTATGTCTTACCAGTTCAAAACTCCATCTAGTGGGGAGACGCCCTACACTTCGCCTACTGGTACGAGGCTGCCACTCGAAAACCTTTCTTCCCCATCGGTTATCGGTTGTTCGAGCTATATTGGCCAGCCCATTGCCAATTCAGCATACTAATTCTTTGGGCTATGTCTTTTACTCGGGTTCTACTGCGGATATTCTCGTTTTTAAGTTTATCACGCAGAGAAACTCCTAGCATTGCCCTTTCCATAGCTCGCTGAGCGACTTTGAGCTTCCTCATACGGCCAGCAGTGAAGGACCACGTTTCAGATACATAGGTTATCACTGGCAACACACACTGGTTGAACAGTCTACTTTAGAGGTTCTGAGGTATGTCTTACGAGAAGATATGTCGTAATCTCTCGAACACTGCCCAGCCGACTTGAATTCGTCGATTGACCTCTCGGTCGAAGTTGGACTTACCTAGTTGGACTATTTGTCCCAGGTACACATATTCCTCAACAACTTCGAGTTTAGTGCTCCCAACATCTACCGGCATAGGTGTGATATGGACGTTAAACATGATTTTTGTTTTGTCCATGTTCACCTTAAGAACTATCCGTTGGGTGACACTATTGAGGTTATTGAGCATAGTGCTTAGGTCCTCCATCGATTCTGCGATAAGGTACATGTACTCGCCTGTGACGTTAATACCGTATCCTTTCCAGTCCAGTAGCTTGAAAACGTCTTCCAATGTGGCGGTGAGGAGTTTCGGGGATATTACGTCACCCTGTTTTACACCTCTCTGTAATTGGATAGGTTTCGTACTCTGGTTCTGTACTCGGATAGCCACCGTATCCCTACTGTACAAATACTTCAGCACCTCGATATACCGACAGTCAACTTGGTACCGCTGAAGGGACTGCAGCACCGCCCAAATTTCAACGGAATCAAAGGTTTTTTCATAGTCCACATACGCAAGACAATCTTCTGTACAATTTTCCGAAGGGTATGTATGTGGTCTATGGTGCTAAAGCATTTTCGGAAACTGGCTTATTCGGGAGGCTGTAAGTCGTTGAGTCTGCATGTGAGACACAATAGACAATTTTATCAAAAACAAAAGGAAAACAGAAGCATGGCCGTCATTTTAATTCAATTTTCATTTAGTAACTCATATAACTTTAACAGTAATTCACCATTATAGATATTATATTTTTCAAAAACAGCACTTAAAATGAATTACACAACCACTATAAAACACGCTCGCGCCAACCGCATGTATTGTTTATCGGACTTAGTGAAGAACGGTAGTACAAGGTCGCCCCGGTCGGTCCCGCCAGGACCCCACCGTTGCTTTGCGCAAGTACATTCGTTTTCTGACTGTAAGATCTTTAACCAGTTTAATACATTTAATATTATAAATATATACGTATCGTCTTACTAAATAAATGAATTGTTCATCGCCTATTTTGACAGCAAAATGCATGCACGGTACAAATGTCTATTTGTTTATGATGTGCTACGCTCAAATTCTAGGAAGGAACACACTAATCGTACGTAGGATTTCGTATGTACCTTTTCTAAATCTTTCGTATAATTGCGTTGTATACGACAAGTGTGTTTCTAATGCATAGTTTTTCGTACAAAATCAAAAGTTCAGATGTCATAATGCGTTGCATAAGTTGCATACATTGAACCCATCTAACAGTGGTAGAGCCACGCGGCAGCTTTTGCTGTCGCACGGATGGGTCCGCTCGAACCGGGGTGGTACCACGACCTCACAGAAAACCAGCGTGAAGTAGAGGTTTACCTCTGCGTTTCGCTTGGTGAGTGCAGGTGGCCGGAGGCCCTTTTTACTGGAAATGAGGCATTCCATCTTAGTCCTCACGGGTGACAACACATCTGCATTTTGATTCGCAAACGAGGATAGATGTAGATGTCTATGGGCCGCAACAACCACTTACCCCTGTCACCCTTATCCTATAAAAAAAAATCTGTCTTTACTTTAATTTGTGCATAAATGTATAAAAATAATTAAAATCCCGAAATAGCAGTGTTTATGCCCAAATTTGGTTATGTTAGGACGTTACCCAATCACGTTCGACTTTGCCAATCGCCCGATCGTACCAGGTGTCACGCGTGTGTCGGAGAGGGGGCAGCGGAAGGGAGCTTCCCAGCGTCTTGGCGGTCGGGCGAGACAGTAGGTGACGGTAGTAGCTGGGGAGCAGCAACCCGGTTAGGCCGAGTGTTTCGGCTACCGCTGCGGAAGTTTGCGCGAGACCGGTTTCGAGTGATTAGGATCTAGAATTTGGGTTTGGGCGCGGCTTCGCTACGTAATTGTGTTTCGTGAAATCCGCCTCGGATTTGGTGGTCTAGGATTTAGGTCCCCGTACCAGAGGCTTTTATAGGGTTTTACGGTTTAAGTAAATTCTTTGAAAGTAATTGTGCATTTTAGCTAGATGTCAACGAGGCGTATTTTTGACTCTGTCGCGACGTGTTGTTCTGGTGTCGAATGAAGGAACTTAGTTGTGTTTAACGCTGAATCTGTCGGGTGTCACGTGTTCGATTCTACGATGAATGTGGAATTAGGCGAATTTAAGTTAGTTAAATGTACAAAGAAACTAAGAGACTGAATTAGTGACAATGAAGAAAGAAGTGGTCCGGCGCTGAAGTAGTCTAGAGCGATGCAGTATTTTGGGGCAGCCTGGAACTCGGCCGCTGCTGGTCGCCTATGCTTGCCAAGGCCCCACACATTCACACATCACTGTACACTACTCGCCATCCACTATTACACACACTCACGGCCTGCCCAAGCCTTGGTGCGAAGTTAGCTTCGGATAATGGTAAGTACTATGTGTCTCTAGCTTTCTCCCATATAGTTTATTGTGATAGAACATATTCCACGTGGCCATATTGAGGCCCGACCTACGTCTGCTCGTGAAGTCTCCGCTGATGGGCCCCGGATGATTGAACCTTTGGAGGAGCAGCCGTAGGCCGTAACAAGCAGTACAATGCTGTTGCTCACGACCAGCAGCCACAGTTTGACTATGACCAATGTAAGAAGTATTCGGTGGCTGACCTGGAGCATGTTGAGCGGCTCGTTGATGGTGACGGGCATAGAGATCTGGCTGAGGTCCTTGCCGATGTTCTTGTAGAGCAGGTTCCAGAGGCTGGGCCCGCCCGGCGTGGGCCGCGGGCTGGGTAGGCGCGTGCGGCGCGCCCACCCGCGCCCCCCGCCTCCCGCGGTGGCGCCGCCCACCTGTCCGCCCCCGCCCACGCCCCCAGCCCCGCCCACCGGCTCGCGCGCCCCCTCGCACGCGCCGTTCGCGCTCAGCCGCATCGCCACTTGCTCCGACGTCACCACTGAAACAACACCAACACCAATCATTATACACGGTACACTTACTTGTCCAGCCATCCATTAAAGTCTATTATAAAAGTCCACTGCTGAACATAGGCCTCCCCTTAGACATATTGTGCATAAATGTATAGGAAGGAATATTTGCCATAGTTACTACATTTAGCAAGCTGGTTGGCCACAGCAGAATTTATTTTTATTTTTAGTCGTTATTAGGAAGACACTGCTGCCCATCTCCTAATTTATTTCCCTCTGTCACCTTTTACGACACACACGAGATGATATGGAGTAGTGAATATTCTAACATCGCAACTACAAGATTTACTAACTGTACAAGACCGAGGGAAGCCGGCCACAGTCGAGCGTGTACCTGCTGTACTGCCCTATGTCAGAGGAGTCACAGACAAGGTTGGCTACACCTTGAAACGAGCTTCCATTAAAACATACGTCTCTCTTACATAGGACAAACAAAAAGATCTATAAAAACCCGCGTAAAAGAATATATGCTGACTTGAAGCACCGAAGTTCCGAGAAGTCTGCAGTGTGTGAATGTGTTCAAGATCGTCCCGCCATTATATTAGATTTGATAAACCACAAATTTTCAACGGAACACCGATTCCTACCAAGGATAATTCGCGAGGCTATTGAAATTTTAAAAAAAAACAACCTAATTTCAATAGAGAAGATGGATGGGTGCTGCCATTTGCTTGGGATCGTATAATTAATAAAATTAAACCCAAGCATACCACTGCAAAACTTCAAGATACTATATCCTCATTCTGCGTAGATCGGACCAAAAAAAATAAATATTTAAAAACTGACCGTAGCCGGGCTAACTACAATATCGGGACGTCAAACACCTCACTTACCCCAGTAACCATAGGTGCTGTAAAGCACCCGAAACGTCGGGAATTTAAAAGTTAAATTTAACGCGATAAAATCCGTAAAAATTAGTTTCATTTAAAACGTACTGATTGTTTTAATATAACAGACTACTTTTTATTAAATTACATACTCTTTGGTACCCTACGGACTTCTCCCGTAAAACGTAGTTATATACTCCGTGTTTAGGAATTTAACTAATTACGGATGCGTTTAATATGATACTGCGTTCTGCTAAACAAAGCCATATTTTTTAAAGTTGGTTATTTATATTTCGACATCTTTTAAAAATAAACTGATGATATCCATTAATTAAATTGCAAATTTTGCCAGGCCTCTGTCACTCTTGCTACCTACGTGAAATATTTACCTACAATCGCGAGGCGCCCCCGGGATAGAACGCAGTCGGGGCTAGCGCGTTCTCGGCGATTGAATGTTAAAGTTTTTTAACTCTGTTTACATAAACAGCCTTTGGTTGAAATCTTCATCGAAATAGTTTATGTTTAGTGTTTAGTACATTTAATTGTAGAATAAAATAGTTGAAAACGTTTTAATGCAATTGAAGAATAATATATATACAATATGTAACAAAAACCCTGTGGTTCCCGTTAAGTACGTTATCAGGATCATTATTCAAACGTATAGAATTAACTTTTTTTTAAAAAACTCGAACACTAATTTTTTTATTTTATTTAAAAAAATAATTGTATGCAAATTGTATGTGGTTTTATTACCTCTACATTGTCTGGGGAGTAAGGGGATTGTCAAAGACCCCGCTTCACTTAGCTTTAGCATCGGCTAGTGTCAATAAGAGGTAATAAAACCACATAAAAAAAAAAAATTAGTAAAAAAAAAAAAGGATATGGTCGAGTTTTTAAAAAAAAATGTTATTTCTATAGGTTTGAATACTGATCCTGATAACGTACTTAACGGGAACCACAGTGTTTTTGTTACATGTTGTATACAAAGAGAATATAACCACTACGTTTAGTTGTATATATATGGACAATATTACTTATCTATTTGATAAATTGTCGTTGTCGTTTCTACTATAATTGTTGCAAACAAAAAGATTTAGATATATCATTTCTAAGGATAATAAAAGGTGAATATGTTTCCCTTTTTTTGTTAGACAGGTATTTATAGCGAAGAAAGAATTAATTAATAATTTAACTACAGAACTAATACGCAAATGCTTTACTACAAAACTTAGTTGAAATTTACTTCACTATTCAAGTACCTACTTACATTAGGTATGCACTTGTCATTTGTAATTAAAATATTTTAAACTATAATAACACAAAATACTGAAATTAAAACTTTTTAACTAAGTAGAATACGATCACATTTCTGTTAGGAATCGTATTTCGGATTTATTTGTTGTTTATACTACCTACCTATTTCTTCCGAGCCAAACATCGCGATTCCAGACGAATGAACTTGCAAGTTGCATGCGTTGGGCATCACAGAACTCACATAGTAGATAATATGGGCGATTATAGTCAGCATAGGTACTTTACCTAAGTAACTTACCATTTCACAATGTTTTTTTTTACTCTTTATTAACAGCCCTTAGCAACTACGGAAAGTCCGTTGTGACGTAGTAAGGAAAAAAGATGCAAAGTAATACGGACAATAGCGCGCAGCGATAAAGTTTTATTTAGCTTGCGTGCGCGATTTATCTGATTAATAATAATTATGTAGGCTATTAAAACGTCGGCAAACAATTAACATCAAAGGAGTGCAACTGTACGTAGTACTATTATTTATTCTGTGATTTTGATGGCAGTCTCATGTCGGTAATAATTTATGTTTTTTCCTAGTTCAAATTGGCCATTGTTCTTTACTTCTAAAACCAATAGCATAAAGTGGTGGATTATTTAAATATTAAATACTAGCTGTTCCCCGCGACTTCACCCGCGTCTTTTTTTGGGGTTTTAATTTTTTTGCGCGGAACCCTAATTCATATTTTAAAACAAAAGTAGCCTAATTTACTCCTTGTGACATCAGCTATCTGCCAGTGAAAATACCGTCAAAATCGGTTCAGCCGTTTCGGAGATTAGCCGGAACAAACAGACAGACAGACAGACAGACGAACAGACAGACAAAAACTTTAAAAAGTGTATTTTTGTTATTAATACCGTATGTAATTTCATATGCATTTAGTAAAAAGCTGTAGTTTTGACATTACAAACAGACACTTCAATTTTATTTATTTGTATAGATTAGGAAATCCCCGGGTGGGCAACTTGTTAAGTTATTTTTAGAAATTTGCCTACGTCAACCCCATACGTCATTTTATTAATACGTTTTATTATAAGTTTTTTCTTATTGCGAACCAGCTTGCCAAGCGTAGCAACCATGGCAAATATTCCATCTTTGACGCAATCTATGGTCTCCTAACTGTGGCCTATGTTCAGCAGTCGACCTTAATAGGCTGTATCTGTAACGGTTTTATTATACGTGACCTCGTCAAATGACCTCTTCGGTTAGAATTTTTTAGTACAAGTTGTTCCAAAATTATTAAATGGCAAAGTATTAATAGCTCTATAAATATTCACGAATTGTATATGAGTTATGTCATACATTAATTTTACCATTCATTAGAGCACATCTAAAGACCAGTGCTGAAGATAGGCTTCCCCTTAGATTGTCTAATAGGATATTTGCCTTAGTTGTCACGCTTTGCAGGCCGATTGGCATATGTAGCCTATCAGGAAAATACTGCTTCCCTCTAATTCTCTCGCCCTCCCATCTCTTTTCAGTTGTCCTCAGTCAGCTCTTACCACATCTACGGGATATAAGGGGTAGTGGATACTTTCAAACCGCCACTACACAGGTAGGTAATGACAAATATCTGATGGAATACGATAGTACCGAATGTGTGTTGTCATTTAATGTTGTAGGTACATAGAGCAAAAGAAATCGTATAGTAAAATATTAAGGAGAGTTCACAAAACGCGTTTTACTAACTTGCAGCATCCGAGTTGTCGGAACTAGCCGATCCTTCTTCACTGCTCAAGGAACCTCCGTCCGAAGACGAATCGCCGTCTAGTTCTATTACGCCAGCCTGTAAGTAATGATTGTTATTAAATAATACATTGCATAAATCGTGGTATGGCCTATAATTCGCGCGTGATCGGATTAGGATGGAATGAAGATATTATAAGCGCGTGATCTGAATGGAATGTGTTTTTTTTTTATATATGGTAACCATGGTACAACTATAATATTATAGTTGTAATACGAATGGGTCAGCTCAACCGGGTAAGGACAACGCTCTCAGAGAATACCAGCGTAATAAAACTTAATGTTGCTGTCTTTCGTATGGTGAGTGTAGAGAACCGTTGACCTCGTTTTTACTGGTAACGAGACATTCCACCTTAGTTTTCAAGGGTGACAACGCATCTGTATTTTGATTTTTAGTCGAGGATAGATGTATATGGGCCTCAGCATCCACTTGCCATCATATATACTGTGTATTTGATTGTTCCTTTATTCTAAAGTTGCAAAAATTTACTTTGCCCCTATCCGCTCAATAAAATATAATGTATGTATGTGTGTATGAATATATGCAATGTAAATAAATGTAATAAAACACAGAATAACGCCTGATTCTATTAATTATCTTATTAAGGCTAGCACGTCCGACCAGACTAGACTCTACGTCCATTTTATAACATTTTATTTTATTGAGCGGATAGGGGCAAAGTAAATTTTACAACTTTAATATATGGGTTTCCGCAAAGTAACGCCTAATTCTATTAATTCCTTTATTCTATCAAAAATGGGAAAGAGCCATGTCAAAATTAATTATAATTGTGAAGTTCTGTCCTTTTTGAAGTCTATAGAAAAACTGATAAATTTTGTATTTTGATTTATCTGTCTAATTTATTCTGGTATATATCTACTCGTAGATAAAACTAAATGATTACTAACTCTAAAAATCGATTTCAATATCTTTTAAGAATTGAATATTGTAGCTACCGATTACTCTGTTGGAATGCCTAGTCCAAAACTGTGATAGCTGACAAAAAGGTATTTCTTCACAGATTTGATGGAGTATAGTTACTCGTTTATCATAGTAGTTACGTATAATAGGAGAGGATTGACTGAAATTCGATCCATTCATAAATCGCTTGCTGTCTTGTTTACGCGCCGGCCGGCATTCGTTTCGTGAGACGGTGGGAGATTGAACGGGAGCGTCTTACGAATGGAGCTCGTTAAGTTCTTGACTTGTGTAGTATTTTCTAGTACTGATCCAATAAAATAACGCCAGTTTTTGTAATAAAAAAACTTATACCTCGATAACATTGTGATAATTCTGACAGTGCCATTTATAGATAGTGGCGTTTGCTGCAACTGTCCTTAATTATTTTTTTTTATAAAATTGTAAAATTGAAGTGACAAACGACCTTATAGTCCACGTGATGGTTAGTGGCTTCTGCAGTCCATGGAGCCCAGCAAGCAACTTGAAAGAAACAGCAACAAATAAAGTAGGTTAAAGATGCCTTGTCACCTAAGAGGACTAAGATGGAATGCCTTACAACCTGTAATTACACTGGCTTTCTATACCCTTCAGGCCGAAATAGAGCAGTGCACGCACTCCTACTTGGCGGCAGAAATAGATAAGAGGGTGGTACCTAAGCGGACCTCTAGGCAGAAATAGGGATGGGCAATGGAAAAAATATATCGATATATATATATAGAGCCTTGCAGCAGCTTTTGCTGTTGCACGTATGGGCCGGCTCGAGCCGGGTTAGTACCACGACCTCACAGAATACCGGCGTGAAGTGGAAGCTCTGCTTCCGCGTTTCGTCTGGTGAGTGCAGGTGACCGGAGGCCCAATTCCACCCCCCCCCCCCCATCAACATGGTAGCGGAATTACGTCATAAACTACCCCAGGAGGGTACCAGTACCCCTGGAGAATCCCTCGCTGAGCATCCACGACCATGCTATTCCACTCCTGAGCGTGGGTGCTCAGGCTGCCCCGCGTATTCTGGGGGAGGGGGCAAAATTCCGCTCAACACAAAAACTGCTCGGGGCAAACTGAGCAACAAGACCAAGGCGACCCCTGCCACGCTATCCGTGAATTTCTGCAACATCAGGGGACTTCACTCGAACCTAAACGCCGTCCACTACCATCTTGAGACGGCGAAGCCGGCCTTGCTCTTTCTGACCGAGACGCAGGTGTCCTCTCCGGCTGATACTTCGTATCTCTCCTACCCGGGGTACAAATTGGAGCACTCCTTTGTGCCTCGGGCTGGAGTTTGCGTGTATGTCAGAGAGGACATCTGTTCTCGACGCCTCGGCAGTCTTGAAGGTTCGGACCTGTCCATCCTTTGGCTACGCGTAGACAGCGACGACCATCCGCGCGTCTACGGGTGCCTCTATAGGTCCCATAGCGGTAATGCCGAAACAGACCGACTCATCGACCACGTCCAAATGGCTACAGATTCCTTGCTACAACAGGTCCCATCCGCAGAGATCGTGATCCTTGGCGATTTTAACGCCCACCACGCCGAATGGCTCGGTTCACGTTTAACCGATCATGCGGGGAGATCTGTTTATGACTTTGCCTTGGCATATGGTCTGACACAACTGGTTACATCGCCTACGCGGATTCCAGATGTTGAGGATCATACACCTTCCCTGTTGGACCTTCTGCTGACCTCTCATCCGGACGGATATCAGGTTTCCGTCGATGCCCCTCTTGGCTCTTCGGACCATTGTCTGATCCGGAGTGTGGTGCCACTCACGCTCCCCTCGCGGTTGCGTTCTGCAGGTTGCCGCCGTGTTTGGCATTACAGGTCGGCGGATTGGGACGGAATGCGGTCTTTCTTTGCTTCCTACCCATGGGGGCGGGTTTGCTTCTCGCCGGATGATCCCAGCGCTGTTGCTGACTCTGTCACTGATGTGGTGCTACAGGGAATGGAACTATTTATTCCATCATCTGTGGTACCCATCGGAGGCAGATCTCAGCCTTGGTTTGGTCGCTCCTGTAAGACTGCATTACGCAGTAAGCAGGAGTGTTATCAAGCCTGGGCTGCGGCTTCGGTGACTCGGGATGTAAACACCAGCACACTCAAAAAGAAGTATAACTTCGCCTCCAGGTCCTTCAAAAGAGTTATTGCCAAGGCAAAGTCAGAGCACATAGGCAGAATTGGCGAGAAACTAGTTCGCCTTCCTTCGGGAACCCGTGCATTCTGGTCTCTCGCCAAGGCTGTCCAAGGGAATTTCTGTAAGCCATCACTACCATCTCTGCACAGGGAGGACGACTCACTGGCCCACGACGCAAAAGAGAAGGCCGACCTTTTAGGCTCCCTTTTTGCATCCAACTCGACTGTTGATGACGGGGGGAACACACCGCCGACCATCCCGCGGTGTGAGTGCTCCATGCCGGATGTGCGGTTCTCACAGCGCTCGGTTCGCAGAGCACTCCTCTCCCTTGACATCCACAAGTCGAGTGGGCCTGACGGAATCCCCCCAATTGTGCTGAGGACGTGTGCTCCGGAGTTGGCACCGGTTCTAACGCGTCTTTTCCGGTACTCCTACTCCCTAGGCGTAGTCCCGAAATCATGGAAGACAGCTTTTGTCCACCCGATCCCTAAAAAAGGCGACCGCTCAGACCCGTCCAACTACAGGCCTATCGCCATCACCCCCTTGTTCTCCAAAATAATGGAATCCATTATTAACTGCCAACTCATCCGGTACCTTGAGGATCACCAGCTGATTAGTGACCGCCAATACGGTTTTCGTCGGGGTTGATCAGCTGGTGATCTTCTGGTCTACCTGACCCATAGATGGGCGGAGGCAGTAGAGTCCAAGGGGGAGGCGTTGGCCGTTAGTCTGGACATTGCGAAGGCCTTCGATCGGGTTTGGCACAAAGCGCTTCTTTCGAAGCTCCCTTCCTATGGGCTTCCCGAGAAATTATGCAATTGGATCACCAGCTTTCTTGCAGATCGGAGCATCAAGGTCGTTGTAGACGGTGCATGCTCCGACTACAAGCCTATTAACGCTGGTGTTCCACAAGGTTGCGTGCTATCACCAACGCTGTTTCTTCTACATATCAATGATATGTTGCAAGCCGGTAGCATTCATTGCTATGCGGATGACAGCACTGGTGATGCTCTATACACCGGCCGTGCCAATATTTCTCGGGAAAACGTCACTGAGTACCGGAACAAACTTGTGTCTGAAGTCGAGTCTTTGCTGGACAAAGTCACGGATTGGGGGCGACTAAATCTAGTCCAGTTTAATCCTTAGTAGACACAAGTTTGCGCGTTTACCGCTAAAAAGAACCCCTTTGTCGTATCTCCTCAGTTTCAAGGTACTCCCCTTGTTGCCTCAGCCAGTATCGGAATCCTCGGCGTCGACATATCGAGTAGCGTGCAGTTTCGTGGTCACTTGGAAGAGAAGGCCAAATTGGCCTCTAAAAAGCATGGCGTGCTCAGTAGAGCGGGACAGTATTTCATGCCGGCTCAACGCCTGCAACTTTACAAGGCGCAGGTTCGGCCTCACATGGAATACTGTTCCCATCTCTGGGCTGGGGCTTCCCAGTGCCAGCTTCTTCCACTTGACCGCATCCAGCGCAGAGCGGCTCGAATCGTCGACGACCGAGTTCTTTCCGATCGGCTCGACTCATTGGCACTGCGAAGAGATGTTGCATCTCTTAGCATTTTCTTTCGCATTTACCATGGGGAGTGCTCTGAGGAATTGTTCGGATTAATCCCAGCCGCCAAATTTCACGAACGCACATCGCGGCAGAACTCCCGATACCATCCACACCATCTGGATGGTTGGCGGTCCACCACTGTGCGATTTAGAAGATGTTTTCTTCCTCGCACAACTTCCTTGTGGAATAGTTTACCACCAGCGATTTTTCCGGACCGATACGACTTAGGGACCTTCAAGAAAAGAGCCTACTCCTTTTTAAAAGGCCGGCAACGCATCTGCAATTCCCCTGGTGTTGCGGTTGTTCATGGGCGGCGGTAGTCACTTACCATCAGGTGAGCCGCATGCTCGTTTGCCCCCTCTCCTATAAAATAAAAAAAATATACATCGAATCGATATTATTAAACAGTATCGATATATATCGCGTGATAAATATCGATATATCGTCATCATTTGCACGATGTAAAGATAAGGTCCAAAAGTTTAACATTAATGACGGTTGGACGACGAAAAAAAAAACGACAACCAACCACACATGAACACTTTTGTACCTCCTTTTGTTGTTACATGTTTTGTCATTAATACAGCAATTGATACGAATTCGATACTCTAAAATAAATGTCGCTATATCGATATATAGCGATTTAAAATATTCACGATATATATCGATATTTTTGTTAAAAAGTATCGATATTTCGATATATCGATTTTTTTGCCCAAGCCTAGGCGGAAAAGGAGACCAACCAGATACTTGACTTTTACTAAAATGCTAAAATTTAGAAGGGCACATAAGTCAAATCCCGTCATTCACCTCGTCAGCGTCGATGATCTCGGCGGGTTTGAATTCGTCATCGTGTTCCTCCGCGTCGAAGAACTCCGAGGCGGACACACACGACGAACTGTAGCTCAGCGACTGCTGGAACTGACGGTTCTGTTGAGGGGAATCAGTGCTAGTTGATGATTATAATGATGTTAAAATTGGTTTACTAAGATTCGCTTCCAAAATAAAATGGTGCATATAACCAAATAATGAAATATGTTCTAATATTTCTCCCAATGTTGCGTGCATTATAACCGCTACCACTAAACCCAACGCCACTACACTAGGTAACGCATACCACCTCCGATAATAGAGGTGTTTCACATCTAAACTAGATATAATTAAGAGAAATTAGGAATCATTAAGAGAATTAGACTCTGATATGACTTACCGCAAGTACGTTAAAACTTACGAGGTTTAGTGGTCACGGTCATAGTGCACCCAATTTTAAAGTGACAGTAGCCTGATGGCAGGGTGCAGACCACGGAGCAAATACAAAGAGCAGGTGTTGTAATTAGATTTCACTATGTAAAAACGCGTGACAATTTGCGGGGTATTTTCCGTCTACCTATAAATAGTAAAACTACTCGCATCGTTCCATATCGATGTTGCAATGTAGTTTAGCTACCTTGACGATAGATGGCGGCCTGTTCACAAAATGCTTATAAAATCTATAAAAGTAATATTTTGGCGATTAAAAATTCTTTAGGACTGAATGCAAAACAAATTTCAACACCTTCGTATGATTATTTTACCAATACTGAGCTCTACGTACCTTTATATTTTTAGTTCCCACGATACAAAGTGTCGCCATCTAGTGTCTAATTAACAATTACATTTGAAAGCCGACGCAGAGATTTTTCTAGAACTATTTTAATAAATTAGGTATAAAATTACTTACAAATGAAATGTGATGCCATCCATAGCATCAGTGTATATCTGAGTAGTTTTTACACGATAAAACACAACACTTCATCCTTTTCTTCTTAATACTACGAAAATACACCGATTTGCGATTTTCGACACGTAAGCGCACAGGACGAACGTTGACAGTATACTAAGTAAAGCAACGCCCACTGTGATGACGTCAGGACCTAGTTAGAATTACAGTGCACAGTTTTTATGCCATCCTCTTTGTATTTGCTTCGGTGAAGACCGTGAACTCAAAAGGTCGTGGGCTCTAATCCGCCATTCGACCACTGTGGTGGACCACTTCTAACACTAGCAATTTAAGCTTAGCAGGAGTGGTAAAAGGGAATATTAGTAATGTTAAAAGCATTGCTAATATTTAAAAAAAATTGTAGTAGTGCGGAAGGTGGTGCTGTTCATACAAGGTATTACACACCACTATTATACTTTATTTGTCTCGTGGGTTTTAGATTATTATACGCGATGAGTTTTGACCTGACCGCAGTGGCGTTATAGCGACGCCATAAAAATATTGCGTTGCTTACTGTACAAAATGGGCGCACGCGGGTAAGTTAGCGGGTGGGAGTAGAATTTCGTGCGGGTCTCAGTTATCGCGCAAGCGGAGTAATATATTGTTTGTTCCTATTTATTATATTATTATTTATCATTACATTATAATAATGGTCCAATAAAATTTATGTTTAAAACTGTTAATTTATTTATTACACGTAATCTATTATTATAAAACATTATAAAACAATTGGAAATAGAACAAATATACTGTAATTGAACCGTAGAATAAAGTTATCAACCTACGTAGACATGTGATTGAGAATTGAAATTGGTTTTATTGTATTTTAAAGCAAAGTATACCAATGTGTAAGATAGGTACTTGGCTACTATGTAAGGCTGTGGCTTAAAAAGTTTTTGAAAAAGTATGTATATAAAACTCGTGTTTCCACGTTGTGTCGAAATTTTAAAGCAATTGGTGAAGAAATTTCAATGAATAAATAAACATTTACAACATTTTAATTTATGTAGGTTTATGGTTCAGATATTTACAGAAAAAAAGATCCCTTTTAGACATGGGATACGGGATGGGATTGTCATAGAAATCTATGCCAAAACGCAGTTTCAATCACATATTAAAAATTAGAATTATTAATAATGTTAGAGCTTCTAGAGCGACAAGTGTAAAGTTGAGATATTACAGATATAACTTTATTCTACAGATAGTTTGAACTTATTATTAAGTTAATTTTTTTAGTTACTAGAAGATTTGTATTGTAATGTGCTGTCGAAGCGATGAATCGACATGACATGAAAAAAAGGGCAATTTGGGTGAAGGAGTTTCGCGAACGTTGAAGATTAAGAACAAGGTCTCCCTCAGAGGATATTCAAGGACGTGATGTAACTCTCTAGAAAATTTTGAAAATATCTAGAAGGTCCACCCGTACATTTCAGCTGGCATTAACATTTTACGCAAAGCAATCGCTATAGTTTGAATTAATTTTTGTTAGTTCACCGTAATCACCCTAAGCACGACGGACGCGTATTTATTACCATAATAACATTAACATTATTTAACATATTTTAATCATATTTGTCACTCGTTTGATAAACGGTTTTAACATAAACTTTAAATTGTTATTGAACATTCGTCCAATACCCGAACAACATTAGTAAAGATTCGGTAACATTACACGTTTTATTTTATGTACATTATCTATATTTATATACAGGGTTATTTGTCAGCGTAACCACATTTTAAACTGAAGTTTAAATATATAATGATATACAAGATACTTTTGTTAAAAATTATCCCAAATTGAATGTGATTTACGGGCAACAACGTTTTTGCCTACCGATCGACCCTTACGAATGTGCGTGCGCATTAAAAGCAGTTAAAATAATGCATTACCACGCATTTTGAATTTAAAAGATAAAAAGGACAGAATGTTTGAGATTTCTTTTTAATTAATTTTTCTTTACCATTATTTGCCTATATTACTTATTGTGAACATACTCTGCAAATTTGCCCGGTTATTGCAAAATAACCCTGTATAAGGCTTTTTTAATGCATATTACACAAAATACGCCATAGATTCACTGACCTGATCAGAGTTGGGTCCCATCGAGGAGATCTCGGCTAGATCGGAGGCGTCGTGTATCCGGGACAGGCGGGAGCGGAGCTCTGCGTTGTAAACTTTACCTGTCATTATTATAATGAGGATGGTGTCCTCCTGCCCGAATATGCTGACGGGCGACAGGTTATAAGGATAGAGAAGTTTGACAGCTCAGTAGCTAAATGGCGTTTTAAATCTCGCTCGGAACAAGGGATACAGCCTACTAAACATAGGTTTTCCCCATATATTGTCTCATAGGGGAGATAATTCGCTATAGTTGCCAGCTGGTATCGGGAAAATTCACATCTCCTGGTTCAGTTTACCTCTGTCGCCTCTTACGACAGAATCGGGATGATATGGCGTAGGATAGTGGATATTCTTACACCGCCACTATACGGTATGTAATCTTTGTATAGCCTACAAATAATTGGTCCGTGTCTGTTTGTTCATGTGCTGATTTCTTCCCTCTTATTTATTTGTACCTGCACTGCCTTGTTCCGAACTAAAATGCGTAGAGAGCTGGTATATATACAGACTATGAGCATTCCGTCTGTTCTCAGAGGTGACAACACATGTAGCCTTGTTTCTTTGAAGTTGGTTGCAGTCGTTTATGGACGGTAATGGCCACTTCCAATCAGGTGGACTGTAGGTTCGTTTGTCACTTCAGTTTTATAAAAAAAAAAATATAGGTTAAGAGTGTAAACACCACCATGATACAGGAGAAAATACTCATGTAGGGGTAAAACTTTTCACGGTAAGGATACTTATACGTCTGGCGTTAACGAGATTTTTCGGGCATTACTATATTCGCTTCTTACGATACCCACGAATGGAAAATGGCGTGATGGATTCTATTACGGCACCACACCACAAGAATAATTTTAAAGGATAAGATAACGACCAATTGCGCAGTAAGTACAGTTGCCGGTGTCTAACTTGGCAAGATTCGTTATATGCGCAGAAGTCGTTTTTTAGATCTCTTTGGTTATCAAGCGGGGCGCGGGAACGTAATAGCATTGTTCCGAGCGCCCGATTGGTTGGCCAGTCGACTTCAGAGCGCGCGATTGGTTGGCCAGTCGACTTTAGAGCGCGCGATTGGTTGGCCAGTCGACTTCAGAGCGCGCGATTGGTTGGCCAGTCGACTTCAGAGCGCGCGATTGGTTGGTCAGTCGACTTCAGAGCGCGCGATTGGTTGGCCAGTCGACTTCAGAGCGCGCGATTGGTTGGTCAGTCGACTTTAGACCACGCGATTGGTTGGCCAGTCGACTACAGAGCGCGCGATTGGTTGGCCAGTCGACTTCAAAGCGCGCGATTGGTTGGCCAGACGACTTCCCAGCGCGCGATTGATACGTCTCGTTGTACACGCGCAAACTTTCCCCCACTACGCCAAAACCTTGCCAAGTTAGATGCCGTATACTATATTATATTTGCTTTGTAATGTTGGAAGGTGTTAAATGAAAAGGAGACGTGTTTGCTCAGTTTAAGACTAATTATAGTGGTACTTATTACAAACTTAACTCTAATATATAACTATGTCGTGTGGACTACTACATCACAGTTTATTGTTTAACTAGCTGTTCCCCGCGACTTCGCCCGCGTGGAATTTGTTACGATTGAATTTTATGGGTTTTAATCTTTTTGCGTGGAACCCTAATTATTTTACTAAAATAATAGTAGCCTAAGTTATTCCTTATAACATCACCTATCTGCCAGTGAAAATACCGTCAAAATCGGTCCAGCCGTTTCGGAGATTAGCCGGAACAAACAGACAGACAAAAATTTAAAAAAATTGATTTTTTGTTGTAAGTACCGTAAATACTATCCATATGCATTTAGGAAAAAGCTGTTATTTTGACATTACAAACAAACACTTCAATTTTATTTATTTGTAAATATTTATTGAATAAATATTTACAAATAAATAAAATTGAAGTGTGCGTGCGTGTGTGCGGGCTGACCGGAGTTCTGGTGCAGCGCCGTGGACAGGTTGGAGCGCAGCGCCGCCAGCGTGTGCGTGTGTGTGTGTGCGGGTGTGTGCGTGCGTGTGTGCGGGCTGACCGGAGTTCTGGTGCAGCGCCGTGGACAGGTTGGAGCGCAGCGCCGCCAGCGTGTGCGTGTGTGTGTGTGTGCGGGTGTGTGCGTGCGTGTGTGCGGGCTGACCGGAGTTCTGGTGCAGCGCCGTGGACAGGTTGGAGCGCAGCGCCGCCAGCGTGTGCGTGTGTGTGTGTGCGGGTGTGTGCGTGCGTGTGTGCGGGCTGACCGGAGTTCTGGTGCAGCGCCGTGGACAGGTTGGAGCGCAGCGCCGCCAGCGTGTGCGTGTGTGTGTGTGCGGGTGTGTGCGTGCGTGTGTGCGGGCTGACCGGAGTTCTGGTGCAGCGCCGTGGACAGGTTGGAGCGCAGCGCCGCCAGCGTGTGCGTGTGTGTGTGTGCGGGTGTGTGCGTGCGTGTGTGCGGGCTGACCGGAGTTCTGGTGCAGCGCCGTGGACAGGTTGGAGCGCAGCGCCGCCAGCGTGTGCGTGTGTGTGTGTGCGGGTGTGTGCGTGCGTGTGTGCGGGCTGACCGGAGTTCTGGTGCAGCGCCGTGGACAGGTTGGAGCGCAGCGCCGCCAGCGTGTGCGTGTGTGTGTGTGCGGGTGTGTGCGTGCGTGTGTGCGGGCTGACCGGAGTTCTGGTGCAGCGCCGTGGACAGGTTGGAGCGCAGCGCCGCCAGCGTGTGCGTGTGTGTGTGTGCGGGTGTGTGCGTGCGTGTGTGCGGGCTGACCGGAGTTCTGGTGCAGCGCCGTGGACAGGTTGGAGCGCAGCGCCGCCAGCGTGTGCGTGTGTGTGTGTGCGGGTGTGTGCGTGCGTGTGTGCGGGCTGACCGGAGTTCTGGTGCAGCGCCGTGGACAGGTTGGAGCGCAGCGCCGCCAGCGTGTGCGTGTGTGTGTGTGCGGGTGTGTGCGTGCGTGTGTGCGGGCTGACCGGAGTTCTGGTGCAGCGCCGTGGACAGGTTGGAGCGCAGCGCCGCCAGCGTGTGCGTGTGTGTGTGTGCGGGTGTGTGCGTGCGTGTGTGCGGGCTGACCGGAGTTCTGGTGCAGCGCCGTGGACAGGTTGGAGCGCAGCGCCGCCAGCGTGTGCGTGTGTGTGTGTGCGGGTGTGTGCGTGCGTGTGTGCGGGCTGACCGGAGTTCTGGTGCAGCGCCGTGGACAGGTTGGAGCGCAGCGCCGCCAGCGTGTGCGTGTGTGTGTGTGCGGGTGTGTGCGTGCGTGTGTGCGGGCTGACCGGAGTTCTGGTGCAGCGCCGTGGACAGGTTGGAGCGCAGCGCCGCCAGCGTGTGCGTGTGTGTGTGTGTGCGGGTGTGTGCGTGCGTGTGTGCGGGCTGACCGGAGTTCTGGTGCAGCGCCGTGGACAGGTTGGAGCGCAGCGCCGCCAGCGTGTGCGTGTGTGTGTGTGCGGGTGTGTGCGTGCGTGTGTGCGGGCTGACCGGAGTTCTGGTGCAGCGCCGTGGACAGGTTGGAGCGCAGCGCCGCCAGCGTGTGCGTGTGTGTGTGTGCGGGTGTGTGCGTGCGTGTGTGCGGGCTGACCGGAGTTCTGGTGCAGCGCCGTGGACAGGTTGGAGCGCAGCGCCGCCAGCGTGTGCGTGTGTGTGTGTGCGGGTGTGTGCGTGCGTGTGTGCGGGCTGACCGGAGTTCTGGTGCAGCGCCGTGGACAGGTTGGAGCGCAGCGCCGCCAGCGTGTGCGTGTGTGTGTGTGCGGGTGTGTGCGTGCGTGTGTGCGGGCTGACCGGAGTTCTGGTGCAGCGCCGTGGACAGGTTGGAGCGCAGCGCCGCCAGCGTGTGCGTGTGTGTGTGTGCGGGTGTGTGCGTGCGTGTGTGCGGGCTGACCGGAGTTCTGGTGCAGCGCCGTGGACAGGTTGGAGCGCAGCGCCGCCAGCGTGTGCGTGTGTGTGTGTGCGGGTGTGTGCGTGCGTGTGTGCGGGCTGACCGGAGTTCTGGTGCAGCGCCGTGGACAGGTTGGAGCGCAGCGCCGCCAGCGTGTGCGTGTGTGTGTGTGTGCGGGTGTGTGCGTGCGTGTGTGCGGGCTGACCGGAGTTCTGGTGCAGCGCCGTGGACAGGTTGGAGCGCAGCGCCGCCAGCGTGTGCGTGTGTGTGTGTGCGGGTGTGTGCGTGCGTGTGTGCGGGCTGACCGGAGTTCTGGTGCAGCGCCGTGGACAGGTTGGAGCGCAGCGCCGCCAGCGTGTGCGTGTGTGTGTGTGCGGGTGTGTGCGTGCGTGTGTGCGGGCTGACCGGAGTTCTGGTGCAGCGCCGTGGACAGGTTGGAGCGCAGCGCCGCCAGCGTGTGCGTGTGTGTGTGTGCGGGTGTGTGCGTGCGTGTGTGCGGGCTGACCGGAGTTCTGGTGCAGCGCCGTGGACAGGTTGGAGCGCAGCGCCGCCAGCGTGTGCGTGTGTGTGTGTGCGGGTGTGTGCGTGCGTGTGTGCGGGCTGACCGGAGTTCTGGTGCAGCGCCGTGGACAGGTTGGAGCGCAGCGCCGCCAGCGTGTGCGTGTGTGTGTGTGCGGGTGTGTGCGTGCGTGTGTGCGGGCTGACCGGAGTTCTGGTGCAGCGCCGTGGACAGGTTGGAGCGCAGCGCCGCCAGCGTGTGCGTGTGTGTGTGTGCGGGTGTGTGCGTGCGTGTGTGCGGGCTGACCGGAGTTCTGGTGCAGCGCCGTGGACAGGTTGGAGCGCAGCGCCGCCAGCGTGTGCGTGTGTGTGTGTGCGGGTGTGTGCGTGCGTGTGTGCGGGCTGACCGGAGTTCTGGTGCAGCGCCGTGGACAGGTTGGAGCGCAGCGCCGCCAGCGTGTGCGTGTGTGTGTGTGCGGGTGTGTGCGTGCGTGTGTGCGGGCTGACCGGAGTTCTGGTGCAGCGCCGTGGACAGGTTGGAGCGCAGCGCCGCCAGCGTGTGCGTGTGTGTGTGTGCGGGTGTGTGCGTGCGTGTGTGCGGGCTGACCGGAGTTCTGGTGCAGCGCCGTGGACAGGTTGGAGCGCAGCGCCGCCAGCGTGTGCGTGTGTGTGTGTGCGGGTGTGTGCGTGCGTGTGTGCGGGCTGACCGGAGTTCTGGTGCAGCGCCGTGGACAGGTTGGAGCGCAGCGCCGCCAGCGTGTGCGTGTGTGTGTGTGCGGGTGTGTGCGTGCGTGTGTGCGGGCTGACCGGAGTTCTGGTGCAGCGCCGTGGACAGGTTGGAGCGCAGCGCCGCCAGCGTGTGCGTGTGTGTGTGTGCGGGTGTGTGCGTGCGTGTGTGCGGGCTGACCGGAGTTCTGGTGCAGCGCCGTGGACAGGTTGGAGCGCAGCGCCGCCAGCGTGTGCGTGTGTGTGTGTGCGGGTGTGTGCGTGCGTGTGTGCGGGCTGACCGGAGTTCTGGTGCAGCGCCGTGGACAGGTTGGAGCGCAGCGCCGCCAGCGTGTGCGTGTGTGTGTGTGCGGGTGTGTGCGTGCGTGTGTGCGGGCTGACCGGAGTTCTGGTGCAGCGCCGTGGACAGGTTGGAGCGCAGCGCCGCCAGCGTGTGCGTGTGTGTGTGTGCGGGTGTGTGCGTGCGTGTGTGCGGGCTGACCGGAGTTCTGGTGCAGCGCCGTGGACAGGTTGGAGCGCAGCGCCGCCAGCGTGTGCGTGTGTGTGTGTGCGGGTGTGTGCGTGCGTGTGTGCGGGCTGACCGGAGTTCTGGTGCAGCGCCGTGGACAGGTTGGAGCGCAGCGCCGCCAGCGTGTGCGTGTGTGTGTGTGCGGGTGTGTGCGTGCGTGTGTGCGGGCTGACCGGAGTTCTGGTGCAGCGCCGTGGACAGGTTGGAGGGCAGCGCCGCCAGTGTGTGCGTGTGTGTGTGTGCGGGTGTGTGCGTGCGTGTGTGCGGGCTGACCGGAGTTCTGGTGCAGCGCCGTGGACAGGTTGGAGGGCAGCGCCGCCAGTGTGTGCGTGTGTGTGTGTGCGGGTGTGTGCGTGCGTGTGTGCGGGCTGACCGGAGTTCTGGTGCAGCGCCGTGGACAGGTTGGAGGGCAGCGCCGCCAGTGTGTGCGTGTGTGTGTGTGCGGGTGTGTGCGTGCGTGTGTGCGGGCTGACCGGAGTTCTGGTGCAGCGCCGTGGACAGGTTGGAGGGCAGCGCCGCCAGTGTGTGCGTGTGTGTGTGTGCGGGTGTGTGCGTGCGTGTGTGCGGGCTGACCGGAGTTCTGGTGCAGCGCCGTGGACAGGTTGGAGCGCAGCGCCGCCAGCGTGTGCGTGTGTGTGTGTGCGGGTGTGTGCGTGCGTGTGTGCGGGCTGACCGGAGTTCTGGTGCAGCGCCGTGGACAGGTTGGAGCGCAGCGCCGCCAGCGTGTGCGTGTGTGTGTGTGCGGGTGTGTGCGTGCGTGTGTGCGGGCTGACCGGAGTTCTGGTGCAGCGCCGTGGACAGGTTGGAGCGCAGCGCCGCCAGCGTGTGCGTGTGTGTGTGTGCGGGTGTGTGCGTGCGTGTGTGCGGGCTGACCGGAGTTCTGGTGCAGCGCCGTGGACAGGTTGGAGCGCAGCGCCGCCAGCGTGTGCGTGTGTGTGTGTGCGGGTGTGTGCGTGCGTGTGTGCGGGCTGACCGGAGTTCTGGTGCAGCGCCGTGGACAGGTTGGAGCGCAGCGCCGCCAGCGTGTGCGTGTGTGTGTGTGCGGGTGTGTGCGTGCGTGTGTGCGGGCTGACCGGAGTTCTGGTGCAGCGCCGTGGACAGGTTGGAGCGCAGCGCCGCCAGCGTGTGCGTGTGTGTGTGTGCGGGTGTGTGCGTGCGTGTGTGCGGGCTGACCGGAGTTCTGGTGCAGCGCCGTGGACAGGTTGGAGCGCAGCGCCGCCAGCGTGTGCGTGTGTGTGTGTGCGGGTGTGTGCGTGCGTGTGTGCGGGCTGACCGGAGTTCTGGTGCAGCGCCGTGGACAGGTTGGAGGGCAGCGCCGCCAGTGTGTGCGTGTGTGTGTGTGCGGGTGTGTGCGTGCGTGTGTGCGGGCTGACCGGAGTTCTGGTGCAGCGCCGTGGACAGGTTGGAGGGCAGCGCCGCCAGTGTGTGCGTGTGTGTGTGTGCGGGTGTGTGCGTGCGTGTGTGCGGGCTGACCGGAGTTCTGGTGCAGCGCCGTGGACAGGTTGGAGGGCAGCGCCGCCAGTGTGTGCGTGTGTGTGTGTGCGGGTGTGTGCGTGCGTGTGTGCGGGCTGACCGGAGTTCTGGTGCAGCGCCGTGGACAGGTTGGAGGGCAGCGCCGCCAGTGTGTGCGTGTGTGTGTGTGCGGGTGTGTGCGTGCGTGTGTGCGGGCTGACCGGAGTTCTGGTGCAGCGCCGTGGACAGGTTGGAGGGCAGCGCCGCCAGTGTGTGCGTGTGTGTGTGTGCGGGTGTGTGCGTGCGTGTGTGCGGGCTGACCGGAGTTCTGGTGCAGCGCCGTGGACAGGTTGGAGCGCAGCGCCGCCAGCGTGTGCGTGTGTGTGTGTGCGGGTGTGTGCGTGCGTGTGTGCGGGCTGACCGGAGTTCTGGTGCAGCGCCGTGGACAGGTTGGAGCGCAGCGCCGCCAGCGTGTGCGTGTGTGTGTGTGTGCGGGTGTGTGCGTGCGTGTGTGCGGGCTGACCGGAGTTCTGGTGCAGCGCCGTGGACAGGTTGGAGCGCAGCGCCGCCAGCGCGCCGCCCGCCGCCTCGCTCGCCTCCGCGGCCGCGCGCACTCGACCTCGCTCGCACACCTGGTACATACACATACAATTAATGACAATGGTGTCAAATCTTTGTTAGTATAGTGAACTATTCAAATATAAATAAAAAAACATGTGTGTAATTCACACGCGATAAAAGTGAAGCCTTTATAAAAAAGGACCGAGAAAACAGAAAACACTGTATACAGTATTCTATCTCATTCTCTCACAGGCTCGAACCTATGGATGAATATGGTCCGAGAGCTCATGACGCATTTTTCATGAAGTGTTTGATGCATCATGAAACTTTGTTTAAAGGTATCAGTCGACTCAATAAGCAGGTATATGACTGTCTGCCTGGCCTACCTGGGTACACCTGGTACTGCGCATACAGTTAAGTCGAAAAAAAATTTGCCCAAAAAAAAGTGTTTGATTCAAATAATAATAATGACTATCCGTTAGCTAAGTTTATAAACAATTAAGAAAAAAAATGGCAGACACTTCTGAAGGGGTTTACATAGGGGCAGACGACCACAAAGTTGTATTTTCAAAAATTCCAAAAAAAGTGTTTGATTCAGTCTGCCATTTTTACAGCGTGTTTATTATGTATAATAAAATATTCTCACAAAAAGGCAGACAGTTTCTCCGGGGGTTACTAATTTAAAAATCTATACAAATAAATAAAATTTAAATGTCTGTTTTTAATTTCAAAATAACAATTTTTTACTAAACGCATAAGACATTATATACGATATTTATAACAAAAACACAATTTTTAAAATTTTTGTCTGTCTGTTTGTTCCGACTAATCTCCGAAATGGCTGGACCGATTTTGACGGGACTTTCACTGGCAGATAATTGATGTTATAACGAGTATTTTAGGCTGCTTTTAAATTTAAAAAAAATTATTAGGGTACCGCGCAAAAAAAATAAAACCCTAAATTACATGCGGGCGAAGTCGCGGGGAACAGCTTTTTATTTTATCAGCAGCTATTTAAATAATCTTAAAAAAGTATAATTATTTTCATGTTTGTCAATTGGAATCGGATTCTGCTGTCAATGTACTTATCAAATCATGTGATACAGATGTATTAATTATTATGATAGGAAATATGGACCATTTAAAAAGTGATTATTTATTTGTATAGATTTTTAAATTAGTAACCCCCGGAGAAACTGTCTGCCTTTTTGTGAGAATATTTTATTATACATAATAAACACGCTGTAAAAATGGCAGACTGAATCAAACACTTTTTTTGGAATTTTTGAAAATACAACTTTGTGGTCGTCTGCCCCTATGTAAACCCCTTCAGAAGTGTCTGCCATTTTTTTTCTTAATTGTTTATAAACTTAGCTAACGGATAGTCATTATTATTATTTGAATCAAACACTTTTTTTTGGGCAAATTTTTTTTCGACTTAACTGTATGCGCAGTACCAGGTGTACCCAGGTAGGCCAGGCAGACAGTCATATACCTGCTTATTGAGTCGACTGATACCTTTAAACAAAGTTTCATGATGCATCAAACACTTCATGAAAAATGCGTCATGAGCTCTCGGACCAATATGTGTTTCTTTTTAGTGCCACTTTTTCGTTTTATCGACTTTTAAATCACAATAACTCTTAAGAAGTATTTACTTCACTAAAGCATGAGTAAGTACAGTATGCAAAGATAGGATATTATTAGATGAGAGAATTTTTGCTAATATGCAAGAAATACACGATTTAATTTCTCATTCCTAATTTCACCATCCGACAAACAAACGGGGTATAGGTCTCCATCCTTTTTTTGGTCGATATTCCACATATTCGAACAGCAAAGGAGTAGAATGATTTGCCTGCCTCTGTCTTTCAGTCCTATTACGAAATGGGCGACTTCAAGGCAAGAGTGCCATTTACGGCCACATCACCACTTATAGTTAAGATTAATAATCAAACAAGCTTTTTGGAAGTTATTGCTGGAAACTACTCTACACTACTGTACACTACTCGCCATCCACTATTACACACACTCACGGCCTGCCCAAGCCTTAGTGCGAAGTTAGTTTCGGATAATGGTAAGTACTATGTCTTTCTAATGTCCTCCCATCTGGTTTATTGTAATTAGGAATTTCCACGTGGCCACATTGAGGCCCGACCTACGTCTGCTCGGGAAGTCTTCAGCTCATGGGCCCCTGAGGGTTTGACCCTTTAAGGGAGCAGCCGTAGGCCGTAACACCGCCTCTTGATTTCAAAATCAAGCAATTATCACGTTCACATTAATTTTAAGATTTAATTGTAACTTTTAGTAACTAATTTATTTTTTAAACTAGCGATCCTTCGCACGCTTCGCACAGGTGATTCCTGAACATCGACAACAGCGCCACCTACCAGGTCCAAATCTTAATCTAAACCGTCTAGGGACCCATTCCACCATACACAAAAATTTCATAAAAATCGGTCGAGCTGTTTTTGACTTTTAGCGAGACTGACGGACAGCAATTGATTTTTAAATACAGGGTTATTTTGCAATAACCGGCCAAATTTACATTGAGAAGGTTCAGAAAAGGTAATGTAAGCGAATGGTGCAAAAAAAAAATAAGAAAAAAAAAACCTCTAACATTTTGTCCTTTTTATCTTTTATATTCAAAATGTGTGGAAATCCATTGTTCTGAAAAAATCCAAATCTGATTGTTATTCATAAATATGTAGCGCCTACTATTTTATTAGTACGCACACATTCGGTTTGAATTCGGAAGCAGTCGGTAGCGTGCGTCCAGGGTATATTCACCCGGCTGGGACCGGCTGACAGTGTTCACTTGACTGTGTTCGATTTCGTAGGTTAATTACGCAATGAAAATATTCGAGCCGCGAATACTATGAGATGTTACGGTGTTACATTTTAAACAATGAAAGTTTACGTGGCGCGCAGATTGTACGAAAGTGAGTTTTTACCGCGTTTGCAAAGACAAGCAATTAACACACGTATCAATCGACGGATCCAACTTGGCTGGGCATGCAGGAAGTTAGTAGAGAATAGAATAGAATTAATTTATACAATATAATATATAGATTACCTTCAAGAATACTTATTAAGTCATTTAAGCTTTAACACTGGTTCGAAAAAGATCTCTGTCATGGGAAAAACCAGCAAGAAACCAAACGGGACTTTTTTTCAAACATTAATTTACAATATAATTTATACAATTAGGAATGAAAACATTAATAATTTAAAATTAAAAATTTTGTACAGCCGACTTCAATATAAGTTATTTAAGAATAACTTAAAAACTATTAGTCTGACCTTGATCAAATTCATATGGGACCACACGAGAAGTACCAGCTTTCAAATAAAAAAAGAATCATCGAAATCGGTTCACCCAGAAAAAAGTTCTGAGGTAACACACATAAAAAAAAAACGAAAAAAAAAAAACATACAGTCGAATTGAGTACCGGCTCCTTTTTGGAAGTCGGCAGAAAAAGTATGGCAGCGATCTTTTAATTCTCAGAGGTTATTTATCAATCATGCACTGATGGCTCATGATCGTGTTTTGTGGCGTTCCTTGGGAACACCTATGTCCATCTGTGGACTTATAAAGGGTTGTAATATTGATGATGATGAATAACACTCACCAGTGTAGCGACGATCCCTTTCAGGCTGGCAACGAGGTCCTTGGCCAACACCGCGAAGTCCTCTCTTAGCTGCTGGTCGGGAGTGAGGGATGCCAGCGGAGTCCCACCTGATGTGCCGAGAGCCTCCGCCCCCGGGAGGGATTGCGGCCGCGCCGCCGCACACGCTAAATCGATAGCCCGTTTCAAATTCATACAATTTTAATAAAGCTATAAATACAGAACATGCGATAGTAAACTAAATAGTGTAAACTTTAAAAGGTAGCTGAAAGTGGGAATGCCGTGGTGAAAAGCATCTTACCTTTCAATGACGCAGTTGTAATTATAATTAGCTATTCAAATAATTAAATATTAAATAAATTAAAAAACTGTGAGGTGTAAAATAATCATCTGCCTATTTGTCGCGTTATTTTTATCATAAGGGTGACAAACGAGCACACAGTCTACCTGATGGTAAGTAGATGCTGTGGCCCATAGATATATACATTTATCCTCAATTAAGAATCAAAATGCAGATGCATTGTTACCAACCAGGGAGGAATAAGATGGAATGCCTCGTTTCCAGTAAAAAGGGTCTCTGGTTCTCTACACTCACCATACGAAACACAGCAGCATTAAACTGATATTTTACGCTGGTATTCTGTGAGAGAGTGGTCCTACCAGGGTCCAGCCATCCCATTATTGCCACAACCATAATATAGCTGCAGCGTGACTCTACCACATATTAAATACTCTCCCTCTTCTATAAGTATTAAGAATACATATTTGTGTTGCGAATTTATCACCATACATCACCACCATCATCAACACTAGCATTTTTTAAACTGCTGTATACAGGCCTTGAAAAAATTGCACCAGTAATTGAGCAAATAAATTCGAGACACATTTCTGCTGGTACAGTTTCCATACATTGGACCATAAGGATGCAGTAAATTGTTAATGAAATAGAAATAACATAACATGATAAAATGTTAATTTAAAAATTAGACTTAATACAACGCAAAAACCAACTTCAAAAACTAAATATAAAAAATTATTTTCAGATAACAGCTTCTATAGTCCGTGCATAGTGTATCGATGAATTAAAATTTAAAATATTTTCCGTTTTTGAAGTCGGTTAAGAGTGGTAATATTTACAATGTTGTTTCTATTAAAACTGGTTTTTGATAAATAAAACTTACTATAGTAAATGTGGGGAACAGTGACTTAAGATAATGCAAAATATGGTTATAATACATTAAAATCACTAGATTTAATTCCTAAAAATCTGCCAAAATAAAGTACTATTAACATCATTTAGGTACTCTCATGAATATGTATTAATTATGTGTTCTGAGAAAAATTCTAATTTGAAATATAACAAGTCGATAAATTAATTACTAATCTAATATCCTACTTAGATGATGCAGCTTAAATTGTAATAGGTACAATATTAAAAACTATAAAATAATTAATAAATTCTATTATTATATAATTATTCAATAAATTAATTAACTACTAATCTAAATCTCATACTTAGATGTTGCAGCTTAAATGTAATAGTTTAATAAATTATTACTAATCTAATTTAAGTCGATAAATTAATTACTTATCTATTCTCTTACCTAGATGTTGCAACTTAAATGTAATAAGTCAATAAATTATTACTAATCTAAGTCGATAAATTAATTACTAATCTATTCTCTTACCTAGATGTTGCAGCTTAAATGTAATAGGCCAATAAATTAACTACTAATCTAAAGCTCTTACGTAGATGTTGCAGCTTAAATGTAATAGGCCAATAAATTAACTACTAATCTAAAGCTCTTACCTAGATGTTGCAGCTTAAATGTAATAGGCCAATAAATTAACTACTAATCTAAAGCTCTTACCTAGATGTTGCAGCTTAAATGTAATAGGCCAATAAATTAACTACTAATCTAAAGCTCTTACCTAGATGTTGCAGCTTAAATGTAATAGGCCATAATTTAAGCCGATAAATTAATTACTTATCTATTATCTTACCTAGATGTTGCAACTTAAATGTAATAGGTTAATAAATGATTACTAATCTAAGTCGATAAATTAATTACAATTTATTCTCTTACCTAGATGTTGCAACTTAAATGTAATAGGTCAATAACTTAACTCCTAATCTAAATCTCTTACCTAGATGTTGCAGCTTAAATGTAATAGGTCAATAAATTATTACTAATCTCAGTCGATCAATTAATTACTTATCTATTCTCTTACCTAGATGTTGCAGCTTAAATGTATTAGGTCCATAACTTAACTCCTAATCTAAATCTCATATGTTGCAGCATAAATGTAATAGGTCAATAAATTATTACAAATCTAATTAAGTCGATAAATTAATTACTTATCTATTCTCTTACCTAGATGTTGCAACTTAAATGTAATAAGTCAATAAATTATTACTAATCTAAGTCGATAAATTAATTACTAATCTATTCTCTTACCTAGATGTTGCAGCTTAAATGTAATAGGTCAATAAATTATTACTAATCTAAGTCGATAAATTAATTACAATCTATTCTCTCACCTAGATGTTGCAGCTTAAATGTAATAGGTCAATAAATTATTACTAATCTAAGTCGATAAATTAATTACAATCTATTCTCTCACCTAGATGTTGCAGCTTAAATGTAATAGGTCAATAAATTATTACTAATCTAAGTCGATAAATTAATTACAATCTATTCTCTTACCTATATGTTGCAGCTTAAATGTAATAGGTCAATAAATTATTACTAATATAATTTAAGTCGATAAATTAATTACTGATCTAATTTACCTAAATGTTGCAACTTAAATGTAATAGGCCAATAACTTAACTCCTAATCTAAATCTCTTACTTAGATGTTACAGCTTAAATGTAATAGGTCAATAAATTATTACTAATCTAATTTAAATTGATAAATTAATTACTAATCTAATTTAAGTCGATAAATTAATTACTAATCTATTCTGTTACCTAGGTGTTGCAGCTTAAATGTAATAGGTCAATAACTTATTACTAATTTAATTCACAGCCTCGATATTGCAGTTACTAAGACAACACTAATCTAAAACTCTCACTCTTAATGTAATAGGTCAGTTAATTACTAATCTAATTTCTAACCTAGATGTTACAGTTACTATGACTAAAGTAATCATATCAAATACATTTCTAAATTCTTCCCGGTTACTAGACTAAAGTTATTAAATTAAACTTACATATAGCTTGTTCTTGACATTCTCTCAATAACTTCAACAAATAACTGCAAATGAATTTGCCTAGAGGCACTAAAACACCGCCACTATCAAATGTCATTTTTTTAATCTTGTAAAATTAAAAACAGGCACAGAATAATTTTGAGAACCAGATCACAATTAAAAATATATCTAGTCTGACACTAAAACTAGATTGTGATTTCGGTCACGAGAAACGGTTGAGCGAATGTTTATAGATCAAAATTGCGTGATGTATGAGGAATTTTTTAAAGAATTAATCTGTCATGAGATAATCTATCTTTATCAGTGAAAAACCAGACTCGTGAGATAAATGTACAAGGTCGATTAACTAAACAACGTGCACTATGATATGTTTACATTAGGTATTTATTACGTATAAAGTTATTCACACAGTGGTTGGTAAAGCCATTATTACGCAATAGTCACACTGCAGCATACTACCTGGTTCAAACACGGCAGTCTTTCATCCTCGGTCGAGCCGACACATCCGTGCTACAACCGTAATATATCTGCAGCGTGGCTCTACCACGTACAAAATCATGTACGAATGTTGGGGAATCGGTTAGGGTGTGAACCTGGAATCTGCGATCCAGCAGTTAGCTCAACACAGCGCCACGCGATCAGCTTAGTCAACGACATGAAATTGACGGTCAATAACAGTAAACCTACATAAAAATAAATCGTAGAGATGGTTGAAATTTTTGTTCGAGACAAACATCATAAAGAAATATTTTTGAAAAAAAAAAACATACTTTATAAAATACTCAAAAAGATGTAGCATAATATGATAAGGCGATTACTGTATGAAATGGCCGACATGATAGTGACGTATAGAATGGACAAAAATTACACCTTATAAAAAATAAGAATAACACTTAGATTAGGCATAAAATGGTGCTTTGAACTGAGACAAGGTAAAAAATATCCATTTTTATATTTATGTTTGGCGACCCTATATTTCATGTTCACAGCATGACATTTCACAAATATTTTTGACCTTTGAATAGTATGTGCATTGGATCTTGCCTTTGATATTAAAAACATTATATTAAATTATATAAACATACACTAGAATTTAAATATTTTAGTTAAGAAAATATAAAATGTAATACAACAACAGACAAAAAAAAATAGTTTTGAATTTATTCAGACTCTGAAGAACTATCTTCTGCGGAACTTACTACACTATATGTTTTCGATTATGTTCGAAAATATTTGTATTTTTTATACGAGTAAGGGTGACAAACGAACACACAATTCACCTGATGGTAAGTGGATGTCATGTTCCATAAACATAACCATCATTACTAATGAATCAAAATGCAAATGCGGTGTCACCCCTGAGTACTAGGATGGAATGTCTCGAAACCGGTAAAAAAGGTCTCCAGTTCTTTGCACCCACCATACGAAACAGCAGCATTACGCTGCTATTTTATGCTAGTATTCTGTGAGTGTGTTCCTTGCCCAGTCGAGCCAACTCATTCATGCTATAACCATAATAAATCTGCAGCATGGTTCTACCACGGCTTTGTTCAACGTAAAGAATGTGAACTTCTTGGGATAGTGACGATTGATTAACATGGAAAAATATTTTAATATTCCAGATTATACCGTTAGCACCTACAGACATTTGGTGCCCGGGAATCCGTGCCCAATAGCTTAGTCCTCCCCCGATCGAGCCGACCCGCTGCTACAGCCATAATACGGCATGGATGTATAAAATGCACGCTAAAATGATCCTTCTTACTAATACTATACGCTATAGATTAGACAGACCGTGTTGTATAAACTGTATAGTACATATGAACGGAGCAGGGTGAGGAAGATAAAGTATGCGAACATAGTCAAATAGTATCTTCCTCTTTTACCAGAAAACGGTCCATAGCTCGTATATCTACGCAATCGCAGGACTTTTACACATTTTTGAATAAAATAATATGTTTATGACCTATCCATAATGGATAATCCATTCTATAAATCATTAAAATGAAAACGCTTTTATACCATCTGCAATTTTATACTTTAAAACAATAGAGATAAAGATTTTATTTGCTTGCACGTTGTGACAGATAATATAAACCGCGTATGCGTGAACGGGGAGTCGTGAAGAGGGGTAGAAAGAGAAAATAAAAATAAGTCTTACGAACTAAAGTGGTGGCCAGAAATGTCGAAAGAAACGCTGGAAGACAAAACGAGAAAATATATTATTAGAATAGATTTTTTTTTAATATTCGGGATGTAATTTTAAAATGTTAGAAGTGTATAATGGATTGGCATCTGTCAAAATAGTTACAGGAAGTGATCAGAAAATAAAATTAGTATTTTATGTTTGAATACGCACTAAGAGAGTATGTTATTTTCAACCGACCTCAAAAATGTGGAAGTTTACAATTCTTCGGAATCTTTGTTTTTTTTTTTTATTTCGAAGGGTATACTTTTCAGGTCCCTTTTAAATTTTATCGAAATCGGTCGAGCGGTTTTAAAAAATCAACAATAAATTATATTCATATTGAAGTCGATTGAACAAAATTTTTAATTTTACCACTAGTAACAACTTTACATTTTGTTGAAATAAATAATAAATCTTTTTAAGTACAAGTTAATAATGCACAGTTCTTGGGATTATAGCACACATAAATTACTTATTTTACTAATAATAATCTAGTCTACCTAAATAAAAAAAGAAATATATTTCAAACTATTCTGACAGATGATTTCAGCGCGAATTTATTATCTTCTACTGAACTATCCGTTAGTTCTAAAAGAATACACAGTATCAAGCATAGATCACATGCTATAATCGGTCGTGCAGTGTGATGGAGACACGACACTCGACGCCATTTTGTGAACAAGAACTACAAGATGGCGGTCGTCGCACTAATGAAACTTACCGATTTCGTAGAATCCTCGAAAAGACATAGTTAAAAATAACATTTCATACTAATTTCTATGTAAACAAATTATAAAAATAATAACTTTATTTAAATATTGTGAGCACAAAACACAGTTTAACTAACACAAAAACACTACAAAAACATGTCTGCTGGGTGTCCTTTTTATAGCTTGATTTGGAAGATGCTTACAACCATAGGTCTGTTAAACTTCGTTACACGTTACTTTTAACTCTAGAAAAAAAAACCACAAAAATCAAATTGCTAACATGCGCATAATGAAGTAAAATAACGATTAATTATTAAAACCGGCCAAGTGAGAGTCGGACTCGCGCATGAAGGGTTCCGTACCATCGTAAAACACGTTTCTGGTAGGGGAGCCCATACCAGAAACGTGTTATAGCGGCGGTTTGTTGTTATAGCGCCAACAGAAATACATATTCTGTGATAAGTTTTAACTGTCTACGTATTACGGATCATGAGATACAGCCCACTGACAGACAGAGGGACGGAAGGACAGCGGAGGCTTAGTAATAGGGTCCCGTTGGTTACCCTTTTGGTACGGAACCCTAAAAAGGGACGATTGTTGAAATTTTGATGGAATACGATATGGGACATAAATAGTTTTTGGATATGTGTTGATAATGGCTAATGTGGTTAGAGTAGCTCGCTGCTTTTTGCCTACCCCTTCGGCAATTACAGGCATGACGCTATGTATGTATTTATTTAAACATAATAAAACAAAAATATTTAAGATATATATATATATATATATATATATATATACATATATATATATATATATATATATATATATATATATATATATATATATATATTATTTAGAATGTACTTAAAAGTTAGTTAAAGTTATAGCCTATATACGTCCCACTCCAGGGCGTATATACGTCCTACTTTGGGCATAGGCCTCCTCATTTCTGAGAGGGTTTTAGGACAAGGAAACGCCCGCCGTGCTGCCCAATGCGTGTTTGCGAACTTCACATGTCTTTGAAATATTTTTTTACGTTTTCTTTTCTGCTGAGCATGTGGTGAATTGTCACTTAAAATTACAATTAACTATTTCATTGGTGCTACCGGGAATCTAATCCGAGTTGTTCGCGTACTGTGAAATTTACAGCGAGTGCTTAGCACCTGAGTTACCATGGCTCTGGAATGTGCTTAATACTATGTAATTAATACCTATTATCATTATTATCATCATCAAGCCGTAAAAGTTTACAGCTGGATTTAAATCACTTTTATTGTGGCGACTTATTTTCTTAAGTTTTTTAAATACTTTATGTCAGCCATTTCACGGCGTCATATAGTCTGTAATTTGCGTAATTATGAAAAATTAATTTACATATAATTTGCCGTAATCCGAAAGGCAGCTTAGGAGTTACGGGCGAGCAAAGAAATGGACATACATATATAATGTACAGCTGAAAAAATCTAAGACAAACTTTAACTTCAATTAGCCCCTGTGGCTTTTTTGTTAAGAGTTTTGTGTATGATCGCCATACGAAGATAATATAATCGTTAAATGAATTTATTATGCGCATAGAGAGATTAATCAGGTAGCAAAGCAGCACTAAACACGGACTACACAGATAGAGAGTGAGTGAGCGAGTGAGTGGCGGCAGGCGGGACTCACCGACGGGCAGCGAGGCGGCGGAGTGTGCGGCGGGCGCGGAGGCGGCGCCCCCTCCCGGCGACGGCGGCGCCGTCAGCGCCGACAGCGCCTGCCGCCCGGGTTTCAATTATGAATAATAGAACTACAATCCACTTGTTCGATTCTTGAACGAAACAAATATTTTTATGGCCTTCGAACAATTGTTTTGACTTTGGGTGCGTCCATGTATAATATATATATAGCAAGTAACCAGTTACAAAGTAAAAAAAAAAAAAAATAAAAAAAAACACACACACACACACATATTAATACTAGCACCACTTTTTAATATAACTAAATTCTAGTTAGATAAATTCTCAGTCGTTAGACTTAAATTCAACTACATTTACGGGCCGAAACCAAAGCAAATGCAGCGTGTGGTGTGTATATATTTATATAGTATTTTTATGAGGTCCTATTTAGTTTTCTTCTTTCTGCATGAATTTCCTGACAATTCTGCATGTATTTAATATAGCAGTTTTTTGCAGTGTAATGTAGTAGTGAGTTTCTTTTAGGTCTAATAATTTTAAGCTATGGAGAAGATAATTTGGGATTACCCCTGTTGTATTGTTATTATTTATTTAGTTTTAAATGCCGTGTAGTGGCGGTCAAGAATATCCACTACCCCATATCCTCCCGTGGGTGTCGTAAAAGGCGACAAAGGGAAACAGCCAGGAGATGGGCAGCAGCATCTTCCTGATAATAGCCAAATTACAATAAAAAAACTGCGGTTGCCAACCCGCTCGCCAAGCGTGGCAACTATGGCAGATACCCCCTAATAATGAGAGCAACAAAAAAACGGCCCCCAGTCCCCGGCGGCCCCGCTATTCCTGGCTACGGTGGCGACCATGGTAACGGCGGGGCAGGGGGTGCTAAGAATCTCCGGTGGAGGTTCGGTTGCCACCTTAGACGACTCGACCTGGCAACGTACAACGCACGCACCCTGAGGACTGACGAGAAGATCGTGGAGCTGGAAGAAGAGATAGACAAGTTGCGCTGGCATATTATAGGATTATCCGAAGTCCGAAGAGAGGGGGAGGACACGGTAATCCTCGAATCCGGCAACTTGCTCTATCACCGGGAGGGCGACCATCTGTCCCAAGGAGGTGTCGGATTTATCGTCCACAAGTCTCTCGTTAACAACGTTGTAAAAATCGGGAGTGTGTCGACGAGGGTTGCGTACCTTATACTCAGAATCACCAAACGGTATTCGCTGAAGGTCATACAGGTTTACGCACCAACCTCGGCACACCCCGATGAGGAGGTGGAGGAAATGTATGAGGATATCTCTAGAGCCATGCATTCCTCCAAAACCCAATATAAGGTGTTAATGGGAGACTTCAATGCAAAACTAGGTACAAGAGAGAACGGTGAGCTGAAAGTAGGGAAATTTGGAATAGGGCAACGGAACCCAAGGGGCCAGCAGCTGGCCGACTTCATGGAGAAAGAGGGACTCTTTATGATGAACTCTTTCTTCCAGAAGCGGCCCCACAGGAAGTGGACCTGGTCGAGCCCCGACGGTTCCACAAAAAATGAGATTGACTTCATTATGACGACCAGACGACAACTGTTCAGTGATGTCTCCGTGATCGCGAGGGTGAAAACTGGTAGCGATCACCGAATGGTTAGAGGCACACTGAACCTAAACGTTAAGTTGGAGAGGTCTCGTCTAATGAAGTCAACGCTCCGTCCCCCTCGTGCTCTGTTCCAAAGTCCCGAAACCTTTCAGCTCGAGTTACAAAACCGTTTTCAGTGCCTGGAAGACTGCAATGAAGTGGACGATATGAATGACAAGCTCGTGGAAACTGTCCATGCGGTTGGAGCTAAGTTCTGCAAGACCCGCCGCAGAAGAACACAAAAACTCTCCCATCACACTCTTAATCTCATGGCTGTTAGACGGGAGATGAAGCTACATTCTTCAACAGACTTGACAGCATACAGGCATCTGAACAGACAGATCTCCAAATGCATGCGGCGGGACTTACGCAACTTCAATACAGCTCGTATTGAAGAAGCGATCGAGCGGAACCAAGGCTCCAAAGTCTTTGCCAGAGATCTGTCTGCCAGAAAGAGCCAACTGTCAAAGCTGAAGACAGAATGTGGCAGCATCGTTTCCGGGACACCTGAGATTTTGAGTGAGATTGAGAGGTTCTATGGGCAGCTGTACACATCATCGTTGGAGCCACACGCAAGTGTGAGTAACGATCCAAGAGCGAGTCTCATCCGACACTATTCCGAAGATATCCCGGATGTCAGTCTGAGCGAGATTAGGATGGCTCTCCAGCACCTTAAAAACGGTAAGGCCCCAGGCGAGGATGGAATTACAGCGGAGCTTCTGAAAGCGGGTGGAAAACCGGTACTTGAAGTCCTTCAGAAGCTCTTTAATTCCGTCCTCCATGGTGGCATTACACCGGAGGCGTGGAGCAGAAGTGCGGTGGTCTTGTTCTTCAAGAAAGGTGACAACGCTCTCTTGAAGAACTACAGACCGATTTCGCTTCTGAGCCGCGTCTACGTGCTGTTTTCGAGAGTCATTACGAATCGTCTCGCGCGCAGACTTGACGACTTCCAGCCTCCCGAACAAGCCGGTTTCCGAAAGGGCTTTAGCACCATAGACCACATACATACCCTGCGGCAAGTTGTCCAGAAGTCCGAAGAGTACAATTTGCCACTATGTCTGGCGTATGTGGACTATGAGAAAGCCTTTGATTCCGTCGAAATTTGGGCGGTGCTGCAGTCCCTTCAGCGGTGCCAAGTTGACTGTCGGTATATCGAAGTGTTGAAGTGCTTGTACAGTAGGGCTACGATGGCTATCCGAGTACAGAACCAGAGTACGAAACCTATCCGATTGCAGAGAGGTGTAAGACAGGGTGACGTCATATCCCCGATACTCTTCACCGCTGCATTGGAAGACGTTTTCAAGCTTCTGGACTGGAAAGGATACGGTATCAACATCAATGGCGAGTACATCACTCACCTTCGATTTGCCGACGATATAGTCCTTATGGCAGAATCGCTGGAGGACCTAAGCACTATGCTCAATGACCTCAATAGTGTTTCCCAACGGATAGGTCTTAAGATGAACATGGACAAAACTAAGATCATGTTTAATGTCCATGTCACACCTATGCCGGTAGTTGTTGGGAACACTAAGCTCGAAGTTGTTGACGAGTATGTTTACCTGGGACAAATAGTCCGACTGGGTAAGTCCAACTTCGACCGAGAGGTCAATCGACGGATTCAACTCGGCTGGGCAGCGTTCGGGAAGCTACGACACATCTTCTCGTCAGACATACCTCAAAACCTTAAAACGAAATTGTACAACCAGTGCGTGTTGCCAGTGATGACTTACGGAACTGAGACGTGGTCCTTCACTGCTGGCCGTATGAGGAAGCTCAAGGTCGCTCAGCGAGCTATGGAGAGGGCTATGCTCGGAGTTTCTCTGCGTGATAAACTTAGGAATGAGGATATCCGCAGTAGAACCAGAGTGACCGACATAGCCCAACGGATTAGTAAGCTGAAGTGGCAATGGGCCGGCCATATAGCTCGAAGAACCGACAACCGATGGGGAAGAAAGGTTCTCGAGTGGCAGCCTCGTACCGGTAGGCGAGGTGTAGGGCGTCCCCCCACGAGATGGAGTGACGACCTGGTAAGACATGCAGGAAGTCGATGGATGCAGGTGGCTCAGGACCGTGTTTTGTGGCATTCTTTGGGGGAGGCCTATGTTCAGCAGTGGACTTGTGAAGGGCTGTAATGATGATGAATGATGAAATCTCGGCTTCTACCGGTTTATTAATATCACGAGCCTAAGCCAAGTGCATATTAGTGCTAGATTTGATCATATGCTATAACGTACCTTATTCATTTACCTATGTGTTAGGTTGTGAGGTAATTTGCCTAAGTACAGGTGTGGTCTGTTCTTCAGTTTGCAGGAACTTCCTAACTATTCCGCATGTATTTAGAATTACAGTTTTCTGTAACAGTTTGTAGGTGCTGGTTGGTATATTTAGGGTCTTTATAGATTGGTGTAATTGCTGTGGTATTACGCCTGTTGTAGATAGTACAATGGGCACTATAATTAATTACTTTTTGAAGATGCCAGAGTCGAGTTATTTCATCTTTAAGTTCTGCATATTTAGAAAGTTTTTCAGCTATTGTAGTTAGTGAATTGTACGTATTATTTGAAACAGAAACAGAAAGTTTTTTATTCAATATAGATTATAAATAATACTTATTGAAAATCACTCTTTTGTATGTGTTACGGCCTACGGCTGCTCCCTTAAAGGATCCAATCCTCAGGGGCCCATGAGCTGAAGATTTCCCGAACAGACGTAGGTCGGGCCCCAATGTGGCCACGTGGAATCTCTCCAATTACACTAAAATATATGGGGGAGCGCTATACTACGGCCAGTCGACCGGAAGGAATTTGGACGAAGCTTACTTACCTATATCCAAGGCGACTGGTCCCTCCGGAGTCGGTCAGGTCGCATGTGGTTGTGTAGTGCAAGGGAAAGAATGGTGATGTGGTGTGTATCTGGGTGTGACTGATGGTGATTGAACCTAGACCTTGGCCGTCGGCAGCAGCCCGAGCGTCGACACCGCTCCAACTTGAGGGGGGCTTTCGAGGTTATCCACAGTCACTTTCTTCTTTCGTCACGTTGACAGTCAATTAACTCTATCGTACGATTTACTAACTTACAGAAGCCACTAACTATCGCTGGTTATAAGGTTAACACACAAAACGCACACGGAGTTTACAGTTTATTAAAGGTCACTACCGTATCGCGTCGCAAGAGTTAGTTCTAGAATATTATAGGCCGCACTAGCTAATATTGCCTAATGCAGTTATACAGATTCTGAGTCGGACTCAATAAGTCCCGGGAAGCTCTCTAGCAGGAATGCGCGTCACAAAATCCTAGACCGTATATTTACGGGCCGCACCTAATTATTCCGAGTTCCCTAACAGAATTGACCGCGTGCTCACGTCAGCACCGCTTACGGACGACTGAATGCCCTTGGGTGTTTTTCGCACGACCGAAAGTCAAACCGGTATGAATGCACCGAGCCGAACGC